CCTAGATCATATGAATTAATATTTAATGCTAATAAAGCAAATTCTGCAGTCTTTAAACCTTCTCGTTGGTTTGTGTGAAGCAATTAAATGTTTTTTGTTCGAGAAGTGTACCCATATAGAGATAGGTTACTGACTCAGGCCTATTTGTATTGTTTTCATAAAAACGATAAACAATCTGTCTTTTAACAAAAGTAATTGCCAACATGTTAATTAATACCTGCTGATTTTGAAACGAAATTGTTGCCTCACGTAACGAAAAGACCACGAGCCGCTACTGTATATTAGAAATATCATGTAGATGGTTAACTGCTAACCAAAATTTTGTTAATCATCCTCACCAACAATTTGATGACGTCATTTTAATGAACTGTATTTTAAAATGTTTTGAATGTTATACAAAAATATATTCCTGTAGTTGTAGTCTACGAATCCGCTTTTAGTTTATTTGTTAAACGTTCAAATTTTCGCAAAAACATTAATTATGATCAAATAAGAATAATAATATTCAAAACATTTTCTTCCACTATGGCTTAATTAATAATTTTAGTCTTCCGTTTTGAGGAGCAACTCATTCAAATTAAACAATGACATTCTTTCGATATACAGCCTGACTGGGGTTTATTGTGACAGATTTTAAGGGGTGATAGTTTGCATTATTTTGAGTAAAAAACCTTAATAACATTTACAGCTCAGACTTATTCCAAAAGAGTTATAGAATACACAAATTTCATAGCCCACCGGTTAAAAACCGCTGGAATTCACCTGATATATTGAAATTTTTACAGTTGTTTTATTAGAAACCATGACAATAAATTCAATAATAAAATAATACTTCTGTTTGACAATTTGTCAAAGTATCTGTGAACATGTTTTAATAAATTTAAGATGGATGTCAATGGGTATTCACTTAGAGAATTAGCGGACATTCATTTAATTTATGGAGAGGCACGCGGAGTAGCCCGTGTGGCAGTGCGTTTGTATGGCACTCGTTTCCCTCACCGACGGTTACCCTCAAGAAGAATGTTTCAAGATCTGCACCAGCGACTCCAAGAAACGGGATCCTTGTTACCTAGAAGAGTCGAACGAGGTCCACAACGCCCTCAGCGAATTGTCAACATTGAAGAAGAGGTGTTGGATGTTGTACATGATGATCCTGGAATTAGTACAAGATGCCTTGCCAAACGATTTAATGTGTCTCAATGGACCATTTGGAGAACACTACGAGAACAGTTGTTATATCCATACCATGTTCAGCGTGTACAAGCTCTATCTCCAGCTGATTATCAACCCCGTTTTGCATTTTGTAGTTGGTTTCTACGAAAGGTAGAAGAAAATCCAGACTTTCCTCGTATTATTTTGGCATCAGACGAGGCAGGATTTACGCGTCGGGGAATTTTTAATTATCACAACGTTCACGTTTGGGCAGATGAAAATCCGCATGCCATAAGACAAACCCGTTTTCAGCAGGAGTTTTCAATTAATCTATGGGCCGGTATTGTAAACAATTATCTTATAGGACCTTTTGAACTACCCCCGCGGTTAACGGGTGCCATTTATTGGCGATTTTTAAGAAGAAATTTACAGGAATTGTTGGAAGAAGTGCCGCTACATATCCGGGAAAGTATGTGGTTTCTACATGATGGGGCGCCACCTCATTTTAGCCGTCTGGTAAGACAGTTTCTAAATGTTCAATTCCCTGAAAAATGGATCGGGCGAGGCGGGGCTCAGCATTGGCCTGCCAGATCTCCCGATTTGAATCCGCTAGATTTTTTCTTTTGGGGCCACATGAAGTCGTTGGTTTATACAGAAGAGATCAGAACAGAAGATCACCTCAGACAACGAATCCATGAAGTCACCAATATCATTCGCGGGGACCCGGAAATGCTCCAACGAGTGCAGGAGCAATGGATTCGTCGTGCCAATGCTTGTGTGAGAATGAATGGAGCTCATTTTGAGCATTTGCTTTAATAGGGTGTTTAAAAATAAATAAAATTACTAACAGTAGTATTTAATTTTTTCTACTTAGTAAAATTTAATATTACATAGTACAGTGGTTCTCAAACGGTGGAGACACATAAAGTTCTGACTTAACCATACGTTTTAGACCAAAATGTTATTAGGCTTTTAGAATCAAAATAATGCATATTGTAACCCTTTAAAATCTGGCACAATATATCCCAGTCACCCTGTATAAACATACACAATCGAAGTTAAGCATGTACACTGATAATAATACACTCTTTTTCGTTGGTTATTTGGTTTGAATATTTTTAATTTTGTCCGTATGTCTGCGGACGGCACCTACTTGGAATTTGTCATTTACACCACTGTTTTTTACTATATATGTATACCTATATCAAGGTTATTAGAAAACATTTTTTTTATAATTTTTCAAAGGAGCAGAATTCTTTGGACTGTACTTCAAGCGAGGGAAGTTCTGTCAAAGGAACCTTGGACTAATTTTTAATCATTAAAACTGCACGAAAAGTTGTGGCTTTTCTTTACCTTTTAGCGTAAATAAATAGCTATTTTAGCTACTTTTGACATTCACAACTGCTCTGAACCCCTATATACGTAAGTGTCACATTATAACACTTCTAAATTCTTCACACAAGATTGCTAATAGTTTATTTACGGCAGTTAAATTAACTAATTCATACCGTGAACTGGCGGGGGGGTTAAGATAATTTCTTCCCTTAGGCAGTTATCATCGTTATCATCATTACACCACCGAGGCATTTCCTCGCAACGTTAAAGATTGATTACATCACCGAGGCATGTCCTCGCAACGCTAAAGATTGATTACATCACCGAGGTATCTCCTCGCAACGCTAGAGATTGATAACATCACCGAGGTATCTCCTCGTAACCCATCACTTGGATCAAGACTAGTGATGTAAAAATACCGTATTTTATTTTTGCGGTATAAAACCATGGTATAATACCGTTTTATACGGTATTTTATATGGTATTATATTCAAATTTTGGCGCCAACATTTTTCATTTTTAGCTTTATGGTAAATGTCATCTGGTGATTTACTAATTAGTAGAGAAATAAAACAAAAACTCTTCACGAAGAATTTATTATAAAAAAACAAACAATAAACTATGTAAATACGAAAATAAAACTTTTTTCTACTCTCTGAAAAAAAGCTATGTGAATATGAAAATAAAACATTGTTCTCGTCAATTAAAAAAAAATTAACAAAAGTAGAGACTATTGTTTCATTGATCTTCATCAACTACGTGCAGTATGAAAGCTTCTTCTACCTCCATATCTGAGTCTTCATTTGTTTCAGATTCATCAACGTCAACGCTGATGTTATCTTCGGCAATGTCGACATCATTATCTACATCATCTTACAATTTGAGGATATTCTCATTGTCATCCTCATAATCATAAATATTATTTTGCAATGATAAATTGCTTTTAATGTAACTTAATAGGTTAAAAAAATTACGATTGACATAACCTAAAAATTTAATTTTATACCAGTGGTATAAAAACATTTTATACATACCGTATAATACGGTTTTAAACCATGGTATTATACGGCCTGTATTATACACTCACATCACTCAAGACATAATTTAACATAACATAAACTCTTTGTTAGAAGCGTTGATAAAATGTGGCAAATATTAATCTCATGCAAATTTGTTGGCTTTGCAATTTTCACCTCATGTCGTACAATTTTAATTGAACGTAAATTTCGTGCTCTGCAGTTTTAACCTCACATAATATTTTTATTTGCACAAATTTTATTTCACATCAGATCTTTGTTTTCATGCATTTTTTGTAAGTTTTGATTTGTAAATATTGAATGTTTCCGTCGTATAAATTATCTGTTGTCCAATTTTAGTCGCACATAAATGTTGTTTATTGCTCTTTTTGAAACTTTGACACTTATTCAGTTGTCGTTAATATCAGAGTTATAAGAAATTGAACATTTAAAATGTAATTGAGGTAAATAACACGTGGCAGAAGCGAAGGGCGCGGTTCCTAGTCGGGCTGGCGACATTTATTTCAACTAACGGTTGTCTCTTTCTTTTATATTTTTATGTGTTTCATTTGCGATGTATTATGTCGGTGAATAAACCATAGGGGGTTTTTGGAGCTGACAAGTGAATGCGATTCCCCCCTTGAGTGGCCTGTTGGCAAGTCACGAGTTGCCCTCGCTCGCAGCTCCTTTTCCTCCTAGAGAGGGGTGCGATTTTTAGCCCCCTCCCAAAAATTATGTCCCTTATTTCTTGCGCTCTCTCCTCGCCTTCCCATTTAAAAAAAAAAAAAAACAACGTAGGTTCCAATTTGTTACACGATTACAGCCAAAAATTTTGAATTTTTAAATTTTTCGCGGGCTTTCAATTTTTTTTCACATGTCAATTTAAGGCGGGAAGTTTGATTATCACAAACGTAGCAAAAGAACCAATTTTCTACTATTTTTCCCAGATTCACCAGTTGATTGCTACAAGCGTAGCGGAGAGTTAATCCGTCATTTTTCAGACACCCGGCATATTTAATAAAATTATGAGTTAGGCTGCTTAAAACGCCCTTCATTGGTTGTCACTGACATTATTTATTTCTAATGACAGAAATAATAAATAATGTATAGACTTTGTTGCAGTTTTCAACGACTTATGGAACAACATAATGGAACCTGTGGGCAACAAATCGTTTGATGGACACACTTTTTTTACGAAATTTAATTGTCCCACAGACAGGCATCCTTATATTTTTACAAGACGCAACAGTCGAGAGCCAAATACCTAATTCGTTATCATCAAGGTTAAGATACGAAAACTGGGTCAGGGTAACAATGAACGGTTGCACTAAAATGATTCTTCTGGTACTCTTTTAACATCTATTTTAAAGTTTTCGGTCTTAAGTTTGCTGCTACGCTAAAGCGGAGCGAAGCCCCTTAAGTAGTCAATTTTTTATTAGTGACAAAATTTCCTGGGTAATTATTGTTGTTATAAAATAAAATCAATAAACACTCGTGCATGATTTGACGCATTTTATTCATATCACAAGTCATGGATTTAATCAACTTATACAATATGTATTTCTTATAGGTGATCACTTCACATTTATTAGCAAGATGATTCACAAACTCTGCTTACAGTTCAACAATCAATAACAAAATAGTTTAAACAATGTGTTATGCAAAATATCTCTCTATTTTTTACGGATGAATTACAGGATGTGGACGTTTTAGAATTACTTCTATAGGTTACTTGGAAAGAGTCGTACGAACCATTTGCATAAGTAGCTATAACAGTTATATACTTTTAAATGCAATAAAAATAAAAACACAATAATATTAACACAATAAACTAATATATTCGTTTAATTTTTATTTACTGAACATGTACTCATCATGTACAAAGAGTTCAAAAATAGTGAACTGTGTATACATTCGTTAGATGTTTGCTACTATCTAATGGAAAAACATCGTCTCCGTATATAGTGGGTACGGTTATGAGACAACAAAAGCACTGCATAATCAAGTGGACCAATTAGGGTGGACTGTCATTTTAAATTCAGTCTTTGTTCAATACAATTTAAGCTATTAATAACTCTACTGTGCTATATGATTCTTGATGCTTTTTTGTATCACGAGTTTTGAAGGAAGTGAATTATGTTTAAATTTCGAGAACACGATTACATCGTACACTTTTTGAATAAAAAACTTAAATAAAAAAATATTTTCAAGAATAGTTAATTCTTTGTTTGTTTTTGGCTTTTTATCATATTACTTTTGATAAGAGCTATAAGTTAATGTTTTTCTCCCATTTCTCAACAGGGACATATTACGTATTATAACACTTGGTTAATATTGCACATAAAATTATTCTAGGATACATAGTATTCATTTACAAGCACAAGACACAAACATCTTTCATAAGATGCCTATTTTGTTTAAATTTATAACATAAATAATATAGTCTCTATATATCAAAAATATAACTCTAATCGTCGTCGGTTCCTTTTCTGTGTAATAAAAAAATATTAGACGGTTGCATCCTACAAAAAAGGCACTTTGAAACCTGTCGCGTATATTCTGAAAGCCTCACCGCCTGTACAAAACATTTTTGAACTTCTTTGTACACAACCCACAATCCTAGACGTCCTAAACTTAACTGGACTAGCGTATCTTTACAAAGTAGTCAAGCGAGCAGTACCACACGATTCATTCAACTTAAGTATACCTCAGTATAAATCAAGACAAATTAAGTACAATTGCAACCAAGCAACTTAAAAGTAGGGCTTTTCTAACAAGTAACTATGAAGCACAGTCGGCAGAGGCAATTGTGGTATGTCATTCATGTTAACGTATTGTCGTATGACAAACTTACACAAATGTTTAAGAGACCTGACTTCAGTATACCTCGAAATGGGCTTGGTTAACCTCACCGGGAACTCGCACGTGTGCTCGCCCCTCCGCGAGTAGCAATAAATCCCGTTCTCCGACGTCTTCATCGCGTCGTGAATCAGCTCAGTGACCGTGGAAAACCCCTCTGCATACGTACCGCACAAATTGTACCTGCCTCGGCTATATTCGATCCTAGCGTGCATTGTCTTCCCCACACTGCGGAAACTAATACTGAACAAGTAGCTCGTGGAGGAGGAGTCCCGGACTAGGAAAGTCCCGTCGGGCTTGAACTGGAGCCGCTCCTCGGCCTCCGCGGTCGGCATGGGGCCCCAGTACCAGTAGCAGTTTGACAGACTCACGATCTCGTCGGTGGGTATTCGATGCGTGCGCGGCTCCACGGGCGCGGGGGGCTCCCGAGGCGGAGGCGGCTCCTCCTCCTCCTCCTCAGGCAGGGTTCGCGGACGTTCAGGAACTGGGGGCGGACCCTGGATGACCCTCGAAGACGTGCAAGGAACCTCGGATATCGTCACGGGGCGCTTGGGGGTGACCACTTCCTGCGAGAACATGCAGCTTTTCACTCTGGTGTGCATCTTCTTCAAGCTCCTGCGGAAACTGTTTCGGTGCGGTCTGATCTCGACACCTTCGATGAACGTTTCGCCATCGCTGTCCGACCGATTAGAGCGATCTTGCAAGCGGCTTTTCATTTTAAAAATGCGATGCAACCACGTTTTGGCCTTCTTTTTATTGCTTTCTTGCTGGTCCATTCTGGGGTGGAGGTGATCACTGGATTTTCGACACGGGCTCGCGGAAGTGGGTGGAGCGCTCAACCATTGTTATAAATAAAGTAGCAGAAGTTACGACTGCAAATAAAAATTACTAATGTTATCATTTATTATCAGGAATTGTCAATATGCTGTGCTGTCAAAGCAGTGTTTGGCGGTTTTGTGACAGATGACAGATAACCTGGCGGAAATTCAAAAGCGCGACGACAATTGCGCAATTACGTTTTATTGTTTGTGTAGCAACTTAAATATTGAATAAAACAACAATTTCTGTTATCATTTACGACAAAAATTGTTAATTTGCTGTCGAGCGGTGTTTGTGTCAAAGCTGTCACTTTTCTGACAGACGACAGATAACCTAATGGAAGCTCGAAAACAAGACTATTGCGTCTGAGTGACTGCATTTTCGCTTTTTTCAAACAAATTGAATAAAGTAGTCAGTTTTCGTGCTAATTAGGAGCCTTTGGGTGAATTCTGGTCCCGCGAGAGCACCTGTCAAACGTTCTTTATGTCAAAATTTGCTGTGACACTACACACAACACACAACTGTCAGACAACAATAATGAAAGAAAAAAATTACATACATTTTACTGGCATATAAAGCGGTGTTTTTACAATAATGTGAACGTGTTTTAGTTGGAATTTGTTTAGGATTAAGTGCTCTTTTAATTTGCTTTACCGAAATGGAGGTTCAAGCTGCAGATCATGCGAAAAAAAGGGAATGGACTTTAGCGTTGGATTATTACAATAAATTGCTGCAGAAGCAGAATAACACCGAACAACAAATCCTCACGTACATTTTAGACCGTTCAGAGTGTTTATACCAACTAGGTCACCACGAAACCATCATCAACGACTGCAGACACATCTTAAAAACATTCAATGGCAAGTACAACAACATCAATGAACCTCGAACTAGAATCCAGTTGATTCGGTCTTTATTTGCGTTAAATCGGCTCGCAGGTACGTATGCAGTTTTTTCGTTCTGGTCCCGCTTAAAGGTCGCTTGCAGAAGCGGAAATGGTGATCAAAGATTGGCTGATGATGGTGAAACAGCTGAACCAGATTGGGGATGAGAAGTTGGGATTGGAGAATGCGTTGGAGCGCTTTTTTGCGTTGAATTCGAGGCAGAGTCTCGAGCCTTGGTTGAATAATCTCGATAAAAACTACAGTAAAACGAAACCGATGACCAAATGTCTTGAAAAAAGTCAACAAGGTTCGACCGTTTTTTGCATTTATTGTAATCTTTCGTTTAAAGATAAAGCCGATCTGATGTCACACTGTCTCACTCAAGAGCACGAAACTATGATTATGTCGGATGAGGGGCACGACTGGCACTGGAGGGCCCCGCCGAGGGGGTTTAAGTCGGATTCGTACACCATTTGTGAGAGTTGGAAGGAATTGGGGACTTGTCGGTTTGGGATCCAGTGTGTGGAGGCTCACGGCGAAGCTGAGCTGATGGAATGGAAGGAGAGGTTTCAGTACAGGGAAATGAAGATGATGAGGGCTAAGGAGAAAGAATTGTATGGTATGTTTCATAGTTTTTTTTTTGTTGTTGGTTTTATTTTCCTGGATTTTGTGAGGAACTTTTAAAAGTAGAATAAACCCAAGAAAAAAAAAATCAAAAGAGAATAAAAATAGTAAGAGTCATAGAATTAAACCTTGCAAATTATGTGTATTAACTAGATTATAAAATTTTAATTATACACTAAATATTTAATAATAATTTGATAACGGAATGATGTCCTTCCAATAGTTAGATGTTATGTAAATTTTATAAAATAACATGCTCCTCCATTTGTGGTTTATGAATCCGTGTTAAAAAATCAAACTGTAACATTTTACAATTTAACGAAAAAAATCCAAAATCGAATACTTTGAAATATTTCAAGTAAATCCGTTTATCAAAATTTATGCCCCCACCAAGAATTGATGATGTCATCTTAAAGTTTTGTAGAATAAATATTACCTAAATATTAAAAAGTAACATAGTTCTGAACTTGTGGTTTATGAATCCGTGTTAAATTTTATCCTAGGCATCGAAATTTTTGGAAAAAAAAAATCAAAATTATAGGTGGAACAATTTTCGATTTCTCAAGTTTTCAATTTTTGCAATTTTTTAAATTTTGGATTTTTGATTTCTCAATTTTCCGATGTTTCAGTTTTATGGTTTTTTAATTTTTTGATTTTTCAATTGTTAACGTTTCTAAATTTCCAGTTTTTCGGTTTCTCAATTTCTTGATGAATCCATTTTTTGATTTTCCCATTTCTCGATTTCTCGATTTTTAAATTTTTCGACATTTCGATTTCTCCATTTTCAGTTTTTCGATTTCTCAATTTTTCGACGTTTCAGTTTTTGGAATTTTTCAATTTATTAATTTTTCAGTTTTTCGCTTCTTCAATTTTCCGATGTTTCAGTTTTATGGTTTTTCAATTTTTGACGTTTCTAAATTTTCAATTTTTCACTTTCTCGAGTTCTCGATTAATCCACTTTTTGATTTTCCCATTTCTCGATTTCTCAACTTTTCAATGTTTCGATTTTTCACGTTTTTGATTCTACAATTTTTCGATTTTTCAACATTTCTTTTTTTCCATTTTCAGTTGTTCAATTTCTCAATTTTTCGACGTTTCAGTTTTGGGATTTTTCAATTTTTCTACCATTTTTCAATTTTTCGATATTTCAGTTTTGGAATTTTTCAATATTTTGCTCCTTCCATTTTTCCATGTTTTACCTTTTCAATTTTTCAATTTTGTTGATTTTTAAATTTTAGATTTTTCAGTTTTTTCATGTTAAGATTTTACGATTTTTTAATTTCTCAATATTTTAATTTTTTAGATTTTTCAGATTTTGGTTGGTTCTCGGTTGTAGGTTTTTTGGTTTTTCAGTTTTTTGATTTTAAAATTTTTGATATTTCAACTTTTCATTTTTTTGTTTCTCGATTTTTTAATTTTTCGATTTTTCGATTTATCAAGAGTTCGGCTTTTTATTGTTCAATTTCTCGATTTATCTATTTTTTCTAATTTAAAATATTTCTTCAATTTTTAACTTTTTGATTTCTCGGTTTTTGGTTTTTTTGACTTTTCGGATTTTCGATTTCTCAATTTCTCGATTAATCGATTTTTTGATTTTTCCATTTCTCGATTACTAGACTTTTCAATGTTTCAATTTTTAAGTTTTTCAATGCTTCCACTTTTCAATTTTTCGATATTTCAGTTTTGAGGTTTTTCAATATTTCAATTCTTCAATTTTTCGATTTGTAAATTTTAGATTTTTCAGTTTTTCGATTTTTTGATGTTTCGATTTTTCCATCTTTCGATTTTTCAGTTGTTCAACCCCTCGATTTATCGCTTATTTTAATTTAAAATTATTTTTCGACTTTCAGTTTTTGAATTTTTCGATTTTCGGTGTTTCCATTTTTCGACTTCTCGATTTTTAAATTTTGGATTTTTCAATTCTTCAATTTGTTGATATTTTTTCGATATTTTAATTTTTCAGTTTTTTAAACTCTAGATTTTTCGAAATTTGTATTATTCAGTTTTATGAATTTTTCGATGTTTTATCTACTCGATTTTTCAATTTTGTTGATTTTTAATTTTTTTAATTTTTTGTTATTTCGATTTCTCGATTTTTCGTTATTTTAATTTTTCAATTTTTAAAATTTTCGATTTTTGATTTTTCAGTTTTTTGATCTTTCGATTTGTCGATCTTGCGATTTTTCGACTTCATGATTTTAGATTTTTGGGTTTTTCAATTTTTAGATTTTTAAAATTTTTTAATTTCTCGATTTTTAAATTTTTCGATTTCTCGATTTATCAAAAGTACGATTTTTTGATTTCTCGGTTTTTCGTTTTTTTCCAATTTATCGATGTTTCGATTTTTCAATTTATCGATTTCTCAATTTCTTGAAATAGTTTTTTTGATTTTCACACATCTTGATTTTTTATTTTTTCAATTTTTCGGGTTTTTGATTTTCCTATTTTTTACGATTTCGATTTTTCGATATTTCAGTCTTGGGATTTTTCAATACATATTTCGATTCTTCAGTTTTTCGATTTCTGGTTAAATTTTACCTTTTCGATTTTTCAGTTTTGTTGATTTTTCAATTTTTCAATATCTTAATTTTTCAGTTTTTCGACTTTTCAATTTCTCGATTAATCGATTTTTTTTCCATTTTTCGACTTCTAGACTTTTCAATGTTTCAAATTTTCAGTTTTTCAAATCTTCAACTTTTCGATTTTTCAGTTTTTCGATTCCACAATTTTTCCTCCATTTTTCAATTTTTCAATTTCTGGATTTTTCGATTTATTTGTTTTTTCTTATTTAAAATATTTGAATTTTAATTTTTTGATTTTTCGGTTTTTCGTTTTTTTCACTTTTTGGATTTTCGATTTTCCAAATTTTCGATTTTTCAGTTTCTCGATTTCTCAATTTCTGGAAATCGATTTTTTGATTTTCCCACATCTCGATTTTTCATTTCCTCAATTCTTCAATTTTTTTATTTTTCAGGTTTTCGATTCTCCAATTTTTCGATATTTTGACATTTCGATTTCCCGATTTTTTAATTTTTCAGTATTTTAATTTTTCAATTTTTCGATTTCTCAATTTCTTGATTAATTGATTTTTTTCCATTTCTCGATTTCAAGACTTTTCAATTTTTCAGTTTTTCAGTTTTTCAATTCTTCAATTTTTCCTCCATTTTTCAATTTTTCAATATTTCAGTTTTTCGATTTTTTGATATTTCGATTTCTCGATTTTACAATTTTTCGATATTTTAATTTTCCACTTACTGCAATTTTCCATTTTTCAGTTTTTTGATGTTTTGATTTCGTGATCTTGCAAATTTTCGACTTCTCGGTTTTAGATTTTTGGGTTTTTCAATTTTCAGATTTTTAAAACGTTTGATTTTTCAATTTTTCAATTTCTCAATTTTTAAATTTTTCGAGATCTCGATTTATCAAAAGTTCGATTTGTTGATTGTTCAATTTCTCGATTGTGCGATATATTCATTTTTTCTCATTTTACAACTTTTTGATTTCCTGTTTTTTCGTTTTTTTGACTTTTCTAAATTTAAAATTTTTCACTTTCTCGAGTTCTCGATGAATCCATTTTTTGATTTTCCCATTTCTTCGATTTCTCAACTTTTCAATGTTTGGATTTTTCACGTTTTTGATTTTCCAATTTTTCGATTTTTCAACATTTCGATTTCTCCATTTTCAGTTATTCGATTTCTCAATTTTTCGACGTTTCAGTTTTGGGATTTTTCAATTTTTCGATATTTCAGTTTTGGAATTTTTCAATATTTTATTTCTTCAATTTTTCAATTTTGTTGATTTTTAAATTTTAGATTTTTCAGTTTTTTTATGTTTCGATTTTTCGATTTTTGAATTGCTCAATTTTTAATTTTTCAATTTTTAAAATTTTAGATTTTTCAGAATTTTGTTGGTTCTCGGTTGTAGGTTTTTTGGTTTTTCAATTTTTTGATTTTAAAATTTTTGATATTTCAACTTTTCATTTTTTTGATTTATCATCTGTTTCTCGATTTTTAAATTTTTCGATTTATCTAATCGGTTTTTGATTGTTCAATTTCTGGATTTTTCGATTTATCTATTTTTTTTTATTTAAAATATTTCAATTTTTAACTTTGATTTCTCGGTTTTTCGTTTTTTTGACTTTTCGGATTTTCGATTTTTCAATTTTTCGATTTCTCAATTTCTCGATTAATCGATTTTTTGATTTTTCCATTTGTCGATTACTAGACTTTTCAATGTTTCAATTTTTAAGTTTTTCAAATCTTCAAATTTTCGACTTTTCGATTTTCGAAATTTTCGATTCTTCAATTTTCCTTCCACTTCTCAATTTTTCGATATTTCAGTTTTGAGGTTTTTCAATATATCAATTTTTCGATTTGTAAATTTTAGATTTTTCAATTTTTCAACTTTTTAATTTCTCGATTTTTAAATTTTTCGATTTCTCGATTTATCAAAAGTACGATTTTTTGATTTCTCGGTTTTTCGTTTTTTTGACTTTTCGGATTTTCGATTTTTCAATTTTTCCATTTCTCGATTACTAGACTTTTCAATGTTTCAATTTTTAAGTTTTTCAATTCTTCAAATTTTCGATTTTTCGACTTTTCGATTCTTCAATTTTTTTTCCACTTTTCAATTTTTCGATATTTCAGTTTTGAGGTTTTTCAATATTCCAATTCTTCAAGCTTTCGATTTTTAAATTTTAGATTTTTCAGTTGTTCAATTTTTCGATTTATCGCGATTTCAATGTTACGGTTTTTTGATTGTTCAATTCCTCGATTTTTCGTTTACTTTAATTTTTAATTTTTTAATTTTATCGACTTTTCGATTTCGTGTTTCAGTTTTTGAATTTTTCGATATTTCGTTTTTTCGGTGTTTCCATTTTTCGACTTCTCAATTTTTAAATTTTGTGTTTTTCAGTTCTTCAATTTGTTGATATTTTTTCGATATTTTAATTTTTCAGTTTTTTGAACTCTAGATTTTTCGAATTTTCATTTTTCGATATTTCTATTTTTCAATTTTATGAATTTTTCGATGTTTTATCTATTCGATTTTTCAATTTTGTTGATTTTTAAATTTTTCGCTTTTTTGATACTTCGATTTCGATATTTTCATTTTTCAATTTTTAAAATTTTCGATTTTTGGTTTTTTCAAATTTTAGTTTTTTAAAATTTTTGGTTTTCCAATTTTTCAACTTTTCAATTTCTCGATTTTTGTTTCTCGATTTTTTTATTATTCCATTTCTGGATTTTTTAATTTCTCGGTTTTTCGTTTTTTTTTTTGACTTCGGAGTTTCGATTTTCCAAATTTTCGATGTTTCGATTTTTCAATTTCTTGAAATCGGTTTTTGATTTTCCCACATACCGATTTTTTATTTTTTCAATTTTTCAGGTTTTTGATTTTCCTATTTTCGACTTCGATTTTTCAATATTTCAGAGTTGGGATTTTTCAATACATATTTCGATTCTTCAATTTTTCGATTTTTTGATAAATTTTACCTATTCGATTTTTCAATTTTTCGGTATTTTGATATTTCGATTTCCCGATTTTTCAATTTTTCAATATTTTAAGTTTTCGATATTTTAATTTTCCAATTGTTACAATTTTCGATTTTTAAAATTTTTGATTTTTCAATTTTTCAACTTTTCAATTTCTCGATTTTAAAATTTTTCGATTTCTCGATTTATCATAAGTTCGATTTTTCGATTTCTCAATTTTTTTATTTTCCCACATTTCGATTTTTTAGGTTTTTGATTTTCCAATTTTTCGACTTGGATTTTTCAGCTTTTCGATTTCTCAATTTTGTTTCAGTTTTGGGATTTTTCAATATTTCGATTATTCAGTTTTTCGATTTTTCGACTTTTCGATTTCTGGATAAATTTTACCTTTTCGATTTTTCAGTGTTTCAGTTTTTGAATTTTTCGTTATTTTAATTTTTCAGTTTTTTGAACTCTAGATTTTTCGAATTTTCATTTTTCGATATTTCTATTTTTCAATTTTATGAATTTTTCGATATTTTAATTTTTCAATTTTTAAAATTTTCGATTTTTGGGTTTTTCAAATTTTAGTTTTTTAAAGTTTTTGGTTTTCCAATTTTTCAACTTTTCAATTTCTCGATTTTTTTATTATTCCATTTCTGGATTTTTTGATTTCTCGGTTTTTCGTTTTTTTTTTGACTTCGGATTTTTGATTTTCCTATTTTCGACTTCGATTTTTCAATATTTCAGACTTGGGATTTTTCAATAGATATTTCGATTCTTCAATTTTTCGATTTCTTGATAAATTTTACCTATTCGATTTTTCAATTTTTCGGTATTTTGATATTTCGATTTCCCGATTTTTCAATTTTTCAATATTTTAAGTTTTCGATTTCTCAATTTCTGGATTAATCGTTTTTTTTTTATTTTTCCATTTCTCGATTTCTAGACTTTTCAATGTTTCAATTTCTCAGTTCTTCAACTTTTCGATTTTTTAATATTTCGATTTCTCGATATTTTAATTTTACAATTGTTACAATTTTCGATTTTTAAAATTTTTGATTTTTCAATTTTTCAACTTTTCAATTTCTCGATTTTTAAATTTTTCGATTTCTCGATTTATCATAAGTTCGATTTTTCGATTTCTCAATTTTTTGATTTTCCCACATTTCGATTTTCTAGGTTTTTGATTTTCCAATTTTTCGACTTGGATTTTTCAGCTTTTCGATTTCTCAATTTTGTTTCAGTTTTGGGATTTTTCAATATTTCGATTCTTCAGTTTTTCGATTTTTCGACTTTTCGATTTCTCGATAAATTTTACCTTTTCGATTTTTCAGTTTTGTTGATTTTTTAACTTTTCGATATTTTGATGGTTCGATTTCCCGATTTTTCAATTTTTTAATTTTTCATATTTAGTTCTTTTTTTATTTTTCCATTTCTCGACTTTTGAATGTTTTACTTTTTCAGTTTTTCAATTCTTCAACTTTCCTATTTTTCAGTTTTTCGATTCAATTTTTCTTCCATTTTTTAATATTTCAGTTTTTCGATTTTTTGATATTTCGATTTCTCGATTTTTCAGTTTTTCGAATTTTTAAAATTCAGATTTTTCTGTTTTTTTAATTTTTCGATTTTTCGGTTTTTAAATTTTTCGATTTTTCAGTTGCTCAATTTCTGGATTTGTTGCGATTTCGATGTTTCGATTTTTTTGTTGTTCAATTTCTTTTTTCATTTCTTGGTTTTTCGATTGTTGGACTTTTCAATTCCTCAGTTTTTTGATATTTTAATTTTTCGAGATTTTAATTTTTCAATTTTATAAATTTTAGATTTTTCGATTTTTCATTCTTCGATATTTCTTCTTCAATTTTTCGAATTTTTCAACTTTTGATTTTTCAGTTTCAGCCACGAATTTTTGTAAATTTGTTTCTAATTGTAATTTAAACTCAAACTTTCAAATTGGCGATAATTTAACAAGAAAGATACTATCAAAGACAAATCTTCATAAATCCATGGCTGCCTTTGCTCGTGCTTTTTATTGCTGTGTAGGTAGAATATTCACAAAGCGTACCATATGATCGTAAAAGTGTCTAATAACCCATGAAATTTGTTTTTAAAATAATGGTGTGGTATTTCAGTTTTTGACACTTGTTTGACAAGTACCTACGGAGTGGTGTCGCTAATATATTTTTTTAATAGGGCATTTATTCCCCTTCAGAATAATAATGACGTCATAAAATAAATAACTACAGCTTTCTCGAAAAATACGTCCTGTAGGAATAATAAGTGTTTACAGATTACGGAAAAAAAAACGTGATTCATTGCACCATAACCGGCTTATATAATTTTTCTGAAATAAAAATTAAGGTTATAATTAGTGTTTCCTTGTACTTACTTGTCAAAATGAATACTAAAACCTCGCAACCGCCCCCAGGCAAATCCTACACCGAGGACCTCCTCGAGAAGTGGCTGCAGACCCCCAACAGCAAAACCGTGATGACCGAACGGATCGACGGCGTCGAGGACACCTGCTCGTGCCCGCTTTCCGTGATAGTCTCTTCCAAAAACAGCAACCACAAATGGAAATTCCACATGCAGACCCGCAAACCCCTCCGAGCGATCGCCCTCCTCCAGGACACCTACCGCAACCACTTCCACCTCTCCGAAGTGAGCTGCGGCAAGCAGACCTTCGACATCAAGAACAACCAGGAGTTCATCGCCACCGCCGACCCCAAGTCCACCGACTACGCCATCGTCGTGATCTTCCAGACCACCATCTTCGGCACCTTCCGCCAGTCGGTCGTCTTCGACTTCGGCTCCGAGCCCGTGCTCGTGAAGCACCTGTGCGTGGACGTCGTCCCCGACTCCGACATCGAAAAAATCAAGGAGATCCGCAAGGAGATCACGTGCTCGGTGTCGGAGAGGTGGACGAGCGCGAACGCGGAGATCGTCCCCTTCGTGTCGACTTTGGTCTCCTTGAGCGGGAACCTGGAGTGGGAGACGAACTTGAAGGCCATGTATCCGTACCCCCAGGTGGACAGCTTCGTGCTGTCGAACGCGACCGTCTCGGAGAAGAAGCTGACCAGGAATAATTACCGGGAGCGGATGCACGAGCTGCTCCTGGTGGAGGAAATCGCGCGGTATAACCTGGTGTCGCAGTACAACCTGACGACGAGGCTCCAGATAGCGCACAGCTACTTGTTGAGCCCCAACAGCATGGCCGCCAGCACCGCCAAGTACTCGGGGAACGGCGAGCTCTTCGCCTCCGTGGCGCTGAGTCGAGAGCTCTCGGAGGACACCCCCGAGGGGCGGCTCATCCTCATGCACTGCAACTCGGTCTACTTGCTGCCGAACCCGTCCGACGACCGATCTCCGCGTAAAGTTTACGAAGCCATCATCGAAGATAAAGGCAAAGACATGATCTACCTCCGGCTTTCCTCTGATACCGTGCGCGATCTCAACCTCACCACCGACACGGACCTTGAGGTGCAGATCCAGTTCCAGTTGAACCGGATTCCCTACTGCGAGTGGCACTACACCATCGATAAAATCAAAAACTACAAGTTGATTTTCCCGGAGACTTACGTGGAGCCGAGGATCCCGTGGTCGCCGTCTAGGCAGTGGTCCGCGTCCCTGGACAGTCGGCTCAATTTGAAGCAGAAGGAGGCGGTGGTCGCGATCACGACGCCGCTTTTTGTTAAGATTCCGCCGATTTTGGTGATCGGGCCCTTCGGCACGGGGAAGACGTTCACGTTGGCGCAGGCCATCAAGGAGTTGATTAAGGATGAGACCAACAAGATTTTGTTGTGTACGCATTCGAACAGTGCGGCGGATTTGTATATTAAGGATTATTTGGATATTTGGGTGGAGAGTGGGAACGAGAGTGCGAGGCCGTTGAGGATTTATTACCAGAAGCGTTGGGTGGCGACTGTTAGTCCGGTTGTACAAAAGGTAGGTGTTCGATGGGTCACTAAAGCACGTTTTGTCACTAGGTGTCACAACATCCAACTCTACTGCGCGTGTTTAATTTTCGACATTGACAGGTGACAGAATGGTGCGAAGTGTCAGTTATGCAGTAGTACCACCATAGTTGGGTTCACAGCCAACTATAATTCGTTTTGTTTCGATCGCACGATACTGTAGTGTGTTCGTTGAGTGATTGTGAAAAAAAAAAGTTACTAGAGTCAGCGCATCCAAAAGTAGTTCTAGTGCCAATGTTAAATTATAAATATAATTAAAGTTACTAAAAACAAAAACATTAAAGACAAAATACATAAGGACATAGGTTGGTATGACTGCTTCACTAAGAAATTAATTGTTGAAAGAATGACGTACTGCGAGGAGCGTAGAACTATAAAACGCAAAGAGTACCAACGTAAAACCAAGAACAAGTAAAATTTTAGCAACAGCTACTTGGGTGTTTTATTGCTATCAGGTTGTAGTAACTAAGCACAATCTATCATTATAACTATAATATCAAGTGACTATTGATGATTGAAACAAATTTTTCTGTTGATACTATCATTTGGTACTCTTATAATATCCATTTGGAAGAAACATAACCTTACATTTTAAAACAAAAAGCTTCTGTCAAATATCCCCAATCATTGCAATTTAGGGACTTTGGTTTGATGACATATGTCAATTTGACAATCAGGTTTGCCATCATAGAATTTTAAATACCTATGTTGCCAACCTAACAAGCAAAATCACAAACATTAATAGTTACTTTGTGGACCATAACTGTGTCAACTTGTTAAATATATAGACTTTCTCAATTTAAATTTCAAATCATTCCTTACCTCAAAATCGGGATTGATAATTTTTTAACTAAAATTGCTAAAGGTCGTTTTATATTGTTAGGGGTAGTTTACATAAGCATGGCCACCCGAAATGTCAAAAATTCTGGAATGTACTGTAAGATACTTCCACTGCAATTGTTTTTTGGGGTAAATTTCTTTTTTTACACGGGGTGATTCAGCTAAGACGATTCTAATTGGCAACCCAACATACAGAAACCAACCAATCAAGTAATTTTGATGACTTTAAAACCTGCATGTGAGTGGATATAACACACGATCTGCTACTGTCAAGTTAAATGCAGAATAGTAGTTTCTAACCTAAAAAAAGTGAACACCTTGAAAATTCGTATTATCAACGACATGACTTTTTATTCCAAAGCCTACCTAGATTAGAAATTTAAAGAATCGCACGCTGTTCTCTCGCTGATAAAGGATGGGATAAATGGCATAGATTTCTGTACATAAATTTAGGTAATTTTTACTTAGCAAACGTATGTTTGTGATAGATGCCAGTGGACGACTGGCTGCTTTCATGTTTTCGCGACGTTTAATGACAAAACATAGTTCTCCCGTTTCCGTCTGTCTTATTTATTTATTATTTACTTTTTCATTCATTTATTTATTTATGCACCCATAGGAATTGATGTCATCTTACATTTTGGCCGAATAAATGTTATTTAAATCTTAGAAAGTAACATATTCCTGAACTTGTGGTTTATGAATCCATGCCAAATTTTTATCCTAAACATCCAGATGTTTGGGAAAAAAATGAATAAAAATTGTAGGCGTAATAATTTTTCACGTTTTCCATTTCTCGATTTTTTAATTTTTCGTATTTTAGTTGTGGGATTTTTCGGTTTTCTCTTCTTCAGTTTTTCGATTTTTTAATTTTTAACGTTTCTAAATTTTCAATTTTTCGATTTCTCGATTAATCAATTTTTTATTGTCCCATTTCTAGATGTCTCGACTTCTAAATGTTTCAATTTCTCCATTTTTCAGTTATTCAATTCTTTGATTTTTCTTCCATTATTCGATATTTCAATTCTGGGATTTTTCGGTATTTCGATTGTTCAATTTTTCGAATTTTTATATTATAGATTTTTCAGTTTTTTGATGTTTTGTTGTCTTGGTTTTTCAATTCTTCATTTTTTTTTTTAATTAAAATTTTTCTATTTTTCTATTTTCAACTTTTCGATTTTTCAATTTTTCGATATTTCGACTTCTCGACTTTTCGATTTCTCGAATGCCAATGCCAATTTTTGTGATTTTTGAAATTTTAGATTTTCGATTTTTCGGTTTTTCGACTTCGATTTTTATATTTTAGATTTTTTAATGTTTCAATTTTCCGATTTCTGAATTTTTCGATTTTTGAATTTTTAAGTTTTATGTTTTTATATTTTTCGATTTTCGGTTCATCGAGAGTTCTATTTTATAATTTTTCCAATTTTAAAATTCTTGATTTTTCAATTTTTCTTCCATTTTTCGATATTTTAATTTGGGTTTTTTTTATTAAAGATTTTCAGTTTTTTAATGTTTTGATTTCTCGATTTTTTGGTTTCCCGATTTTTCGATTTCTCAATTTTTCGATATTTCGACTTTTCTCGATCTTTTAATATTTCGATTTCTCGATGAGTCATTTTTTTGATTTTTCATTGTTTCGACTTTTTGGTTTTTCGACTTTTTGGCTTTTCGATTTTCCAATTTTTCAATGTCATTGTCAATTTTTCAATTTCCAAATTTTTCGTCATTTCAGTTTTGGAATTTGCCAATTTTTCAATTTTTCGGTTCTTCAGTTTTCCGATTTTTCCATTTTTGCGATTTTTGAAATTTTGGATTTTCGGTTTTTCGACCTCGCCCTTTATTTTTTTGATTTTGTAATTTTTCAATTTTTCAATTTTTTGATGGTTCGACTTTTCAATTTTCCGTTTCCTCAGTTTTTCGGTTTTTGAGTTTTTCAATTTTTAAGTTTTATATTTTTCGATTTTCGATTCTTGGAGAGTTCTATTTTACAATTTTTCGAATTCTAAAATGTTTGATTTTTCGATTTTATGATTTTTTAGACATCTGGGCTATTCACTTTTTGATTTTTTTCGACTTTTAGATTTTTTAACTTTCGATTTCTCAATTTTTCGGTAGTTCAGATTTGGGATTTTTCGGTTTTCTCTTCAAATTTTCGATTCTCCGATTTCTTCATTTTTCGATTCGTCAATTTTCCAGTGTTTTAGTTTTATGATTTTTCAATTTTCGACGCATCTAAATATTCAATTTCTGGATTTCTCGATTAATCGATTTTTTGATTTTCCCATTTCTCGATGTCTCGATTTTTCAGTTTAACAATTCTTCAATTTTTTCATTTTTCAGGTTTTTGATTTTTTAGTTTTTCCATATTTAAATTTTAGATTTTTAGATTTTTCAATTCTTTGATCTTTCAATTTTTCGAATTTTTAAATTGTAGATTTTTCAGTTTTTTGTTGTTTTGATTTATCGATTTTCCAGTTTCTCGGTTTTTCAGTTTTTCGATTTCTCAATTTTTCGATATTTCGACTTCCAGATTTTCGATTTATCGATATTTTGATACTTCGATTTCTCGATGAGTCATTTTTTTAGTTTTTCAATGTTTCGATTTTTTAATTTTTTGGTTTTCCGACTTTTCGATTTTCCGATGTTTCGCTTTTTCAATTTCCCAAATTTTCGTCATTTCAGTTTTGGAATTTGTCAATTTCTCAGATTTTCAGTTTTTCGATTCTTCAGTTTTCCAATTATTCCATTTTTGCGATTGTTGAAATTTTGGATTTTCGATTTTTTGGTTTTTCGACTTCGCCTTCCCGATTCCAAAGTTTTTTGATATTTGAATTTTTCAATTTGTAAGTTTTATGTTTTTCGATTTTCAGTTCTTCGAGAGTTCTATTTTTCAATTTTTAGAATTTTATTTTATTTTAATTATTATTATTATTATTATTTATTTGTTATTCAATTTTTAAATTTTTTCGACTTTTAAATTTTTCGTCTCTTCGATTTCTTGATTTTTCGATTCGTCAATTTTCCGGTGTTTTAGTTGTATGATTTTTCAATTTTTTACGCTTTTAAATTTTCGATTTCTCGATTGATCGATTTTTTTATTTTCCCATTTTTCGAGTTTTAAATGTTTCGATTTTTCGGTTTTTCAATTCTTCAGGTTTTTGATTTTTCAGTTTTTCAACTTTTCGATTAAATTTTTCTTCCATTTTTTGATATTTCAGTTTTGGGATTTTTCGGTATTTCAATTGTTCAATTTTTCGATATTTAGATGTAGATTTTTCAGTTTTTTCATGTTTTGATTTATCCATTTTTCGGCTTTTCGGTTTTTCAATTTTTCGATTTTTTTTAAATCAAAATGTTTCAATATTTTCAATTTTTCGATATTTCGACTTCTCGATCTTTTGATATTTTAATTTCTCGATGAGTCATGTTTTAATTGTTTGATGTTTAGATTTTTGATTTCTTGGTTTTTCGACTTTTCGATTTTCCAATTTTTCGATGTTTCGATTTTTCAGTTTCCCAATTTTTTGTAATTTCAGTTTTGGAATTTGCCAATTTTTCAGTTTTTCGATTTTCCCATTTTCGCGATTTTGAAAATTTTGGATTTTCAATTTTTCGGTTTTTCGACTTCGCCTTTCATGTATTAGATTTTTTAATTTTCCGATTCCTCAGTTTTTCGATATTTGAATTTTTCAATTTTTAAGTTTTATATTTTTCGATTTTCGGTTTTTCGATGCGAAAATTTTTCGCATTTAAAAATTTTCGATTTTTCAATTTTACGATTTTATGATTTCTTTGGACATCTAGGTTCTTCGATTTTCAAATTCTATTGATTTTTAATGATTTGATTGCTCTATCTTTCGATTTTACGACTTTTCGGATTTGGATTTTTTGGTTTTCAGTTTTTCCATTTTTAAAATGTTTGCACTTAGATAGCAGCTCTTGGTCGCGAAACATCTACAGCCTGCATTCACTAGTAAATTAGAACTTTTGATGTCCACGGGAGCGGTCGGCATGATTGTTATAGACGATTAGGTTTCAAGCAAGCCATCACAAAACTCCCCACTCAAAAGTATAATATCAACTTGATAAACATTTCGTTCTGATCCAAATTGACCGTAGTACAAATATAATTACTTTGAATACTTTTCAGAACATACCACTAACTAACCTCCCCCTTTTTTCAGTACTGCAGCATCAAAATGACCGGCACCTCCCGCGAATTCCAACTTCCCACATTCGCCGACATCGACCGCCACAAGATCGTCGTCGTGACCCTCTCCACCTCCGTCTACCTATCGGCAATGGGCCTACCTCCCGGCATCTTCACCCACATCCTCCTCGACGAAGCCGCCCAAGCCCTCGAGTGCGAAACCATCACCCCCCTCGCCCTCGCCACCGAGAACTCCCGCATCGTCCTCGCCGGCGACCACATGCAGCTCGGCCCCGACATCTTTTCGAAGTTCGCCAAAGACCGCAACCTGCACATCTCGCTCCTCGAGCGCCTCTACGACCACTACCCCCCTCAGTTCCCGTGCAAGATCCTCCTCTGCGAGAACTACCGCGCCCACGAGACCATCATCCAGTTCACGTCCGAGTCCTTCTACGACCAGAAGCTCGTCTCCAGCAGCAAGCAGCCCAAGCACTTCCGCTTCTACCCGCTCACGTTCTTCACGACGCGAGGCGAGGACGTGCAAGACAAGAACTCGACGGCGTTCTACAACAACTCGGAGGTGTACGAGGTGGTGGAGCGCGTGGCCGAATTGAAGCGGAACTGGCCGACGGAGTGGGGCGAAGTGAACGAGCAGAGCATCGGGGTGGTGACGCCGTACGCCGACCAGGTGTTCCGGATCCGGTCCGAGCTGAGGAAGAGGAAGATCGACGTCTGCGTGGAGAGGGTGCTCAACGTGCAGGGGAAGCAGTTTAGGGCGATTATTTTGTCGACGGTGCGGACGAGGAGAACTTGCGCGAACGGCAAGGGCGAGAGTGAGGTGGATTATGGGTTTTTGTCGAATTCGAAGTTGCTGAACACGGCGATCACGAGGGCGCAGAGCTTGGTGGCGGTGGTGGGGGATCCGATCGCTCTGTGTTCGCTGGGGAGGTGCAGCAAGGTGTGGGAGAGATTCATCCAGATTTGCAACGACAACGGGAGTTTGTATGGGATCACGTGGACGCAGCTACGCTTCCAGTTGGATGGAATCGAGTTGAAGAAAGTCTACACGTTGAATCCTCTAGCGCCGGAGTTTATACCGCGCAAGTACAAAGAGTTGATGCAAGAGCAGAATTTGATCCGGGTTCCGAATTTGAACCCGATACCTCAGCCTAAAGTACTGCCGACTTTTCCGAACATTCAGAGCAACGTTAGGGTGGTACCGGTGTTGTACCAGCAGAGACCTGCTCTCACCCTTCCGGCGCCCTACGTCTTGAACTTGCCCACTTCCGTGCCAAATCTACCCTCGCTGCCTCTGGCGAATGGGTTTCGACCGGTGAGGGTGCTCAACCCCCACGAACTCCCAGTGGTTGCACCCTCGAGGCAACAAGTACCTGTCACTCCAGTGAGCGCGCCGCCTCCGACTCCAGTACCAAAGAAGGCTTGCAGTACCAAGTTGATCCAGTTTATGAACAACGTGCATTTTCCAGAGGCACAGATGTTGAGTGACTGTGTGAATTTGCTACCTCAGCATATGTCACTAGCTGACATGATCCAACAGCCATCTAGCGTCCAGGAGCGGTGGTACAACTACCTGAGAGACACCTCAGGGCAAATGGCCGCCGACAAGTTCAAGTACATCCTGCAAACCACCAACCAGAAAGGGTCTCGAGTACCTGACAACAACCTCCTGGAACGTACCACTCCTCATTCGTCGTCGGATTCGCCGACTTTCAACTGGTACGACAGTCCTTCCAATCAGATCAACTTCAACAAGCCCATTTACATGAAAGAGGTGGATTCGAACACGAACTGGCTGGAGTTTAATAGGTCGAATCCGTTGTACAAGAGGCAGGCGACGCAGCAGACTCGGGTGAACGCGGCCAGCGTGAACGGGGTCAACGGGATGAAGGAGAGTGACGTTCAGAGACACATCAACGAGGATTTTGCTAACTTGAGGATCAACAATACCAGTAGCGATGACTTGTACGAGATTTTCAAGGCTTATAACGGGGAGAACCAAAGCCACGGCTCCACCACGAATAGACCGTTGAGTAACGCGAATGTGAGCGGGTTTTATCATTATTTTTCATAAAATCTGTTGTACCTACATTGTATATATCATACAAGATAGTCACTTGCTGTTGTTATATATACACTTGTTTATTGTAGATATATTCTTAGAAATTTTTTTTACAGTATTTATAATGATTCTATAAAACAATAAAAGTATTGGTTTTTTAAACGGAGCGGGTGTTTCTCGTCACTGGGACGTAAAGAATCCTTCAAGGACGCTTCTGTGAAGATAAATTTTAGTTTGTCAAGGTAGTATTTTTTTACATTGCAAAAGGACTCACGGGACACCAAAATTCTTTCAAATTACTTAAAAAACAGGACAAACTCGCAGACTACTTCAAAAACAAAATACAAGGGGTCCTCGAGATTTTTTCAAATTACTTCAAAAGCAAAACAAAAGGGGTCTCCAAGATCCTTGAATCCACTTCAAAAACCAGGTATAAGGGGTCCCCGAGATTCTTTCAAAATACTTCAAAAATAAAATAGGAACCCCGTGATTCTTTTAAACTATATACTGCAAATACCGAACACAAGGGATCCGCGAAGTTCTTTCAAACTACTTCAAAAACAATACAAGTGATCCCCAAGATTCTTTTAAACTATTTCAAAAACCAGTCACAGAGGTCCCGGGGATTCTTTTAACCTATTTAAAAAAACACAAGGGGCCTTTGAGATTCCCTCAAACTACTTCAAAAACAAAACAAAAGACATCCCCGAGATTCTCTGAAATCACTTCAAAAACATAACATTAAGGATTCCGAGATTCTTTAAAACTACATACTTCAATAACAAATGGGGTCCTCGACATTCTTTCAAACTACTTCAAAAACCAGTTACAAGGGGTCTAGAAATTCTTTTAAACTACTTCATGAACAAAATACAAGGGGCCCCCGCGATTCTTTCAAACTACTTCAACAATAAAAGACAAGGGACCCCCAAGATTCTTTCAAACTACTTCAACAATAAAAGATAAAGAACCCCTAAGATTCTTTCAAACTACTTCAAAAACAAAACAAAAGTGCACCCCGAGATTCTTAAATCTACTACAAAAACTAGTCACAAAGGGTCCCGGAGATTCTTTTAAACTACTTCAAAAATAAAACACAATTGGCCCCCAAGATTCTTTCAAACTAGTTCAAATACAAAACACAAGGATTCCACAAGATTCTTTCAAATAACTTCAACAATAAAACACAAGGGGCCCCCAAGATTCTTTCAAACTACTTCAAAAACAAAACAAAAGTGGTCCCCGAAATTCTTAAATCTATTTCAAAAACTAGTCACAAAGGGTCCCAGAGATTCTTTTAAACTACTTCAAAAACAACACACAAGGGGCCTCCAAGATTCTTTCAAACTAGTTCAAATACAAAACACAAGGATTCCCCAAGATTCTTTCAAACTACTTCAACAATAAAACACAAGGGGCCCCCAAGATTCTTTCACCCTACTTCAAAAACAACAAAAGTGGTCCCCGAGATTCTTAAATTTACTTCAAAAACTAGTCACAAAGGATCCCGGAGATTCTTTTAAACTACTTCAAAAACAAAACACAAGGGGCTTCCGAGATTCTTTCAAATTAGTTCAAATACAAAACACAAGGGTTCCCCAAGATTTTTTCAACCTACTTCAAAAACAAAACAAAAGTGGTCCCGGAGATTCTTAAATCTACTTCAAAAACTAGTCACAAAGGGTCCCGGAGATTCTTTTAAACTACTTCAAAAATAAAACACTAGGGGCCTCCAAGATTCTTTCAAACTAGTTCAAATACAAAACACAAGGATTCTCCAAGATTCTTTCAAACTACTTCAACAATAAAACACAAGGGGCCCCCAAGATTCTTTCAAACTACTTCAAAAACAAAACAAAAGTGGTCCCCGAGATTCTTAAATCTACTTCAAAAACTAGTCACAAAGGGTCCCAGAGATTCTTTTAAACTACTTCAAAAACAAAACACAAGGGGCCTCCAAGATTCTTTCAAACTGGTTCAAATACAAAACACAAGGATTCCCCAAGATTCTTTCAAACTACTTCAACAATAAAACACAAGGGGCCCCCAAGATTCTTTCACCCTACTTCAAAAACAACAAAAGTGGTCCCCGAGATTCTTAAATCTACTTCAAAAACTAGTCAGAAAGGATCCCGGAGATTCTTTTAAACTACTTCAAAAACAAAACACAAGGGGCTTCCGAGATTCTTTCAAATTAGTTCAAATACAAAACACAAGGGTTCCCCAAGATTTTTTCAACCTACTTCAAAAACAAAACAAAAGTGGTCCCCGAGATTCTTAAATCTACTTCAAAAACTAGTCACAAAGGGTCCCGGAGATTCTTTTAAACTACTTCAAAAATAAAACACAAGGGGCTCTCGAGATTCTTTCAAACTACTTCATATATAAAACACAAATGGCCCCCAAGATTCTTTCAAACTACTTCAAAAACAAAACAAAAGGGGTCCCGGAGATTCTTTTAAACTATTTCAAAAATAAACGCAAAGGGGCTCTCGCGATTCTTTCAAACTACGTCAAAAACAGAACGAAAGGGATCCCCGAGATTCTCTGAAACTACTTCAAAAACAAAACAAACGGGATCCCCAAGATTATTTCAAACTACTTCAACAATAAAACACAAGGGACCTCCAAGATTCTTTCACCCTACTTCAAAAACAACAAAAGTGGTCCCCGAGATTCTTAAATCTACTTCAAAAACTAGTCACAAAGGGCCCCGGAGATTCTTTTAAACTACTTCAAAAACAAAACACAATTGGCCCCGAAGATTCTTTCAAACTACTTCAAATACAAAACACAAGGATTTCCCAAGATTCTTTCAAATTACTTCAACAATAAAACACAAGGGGCCCCCAAGATTCTTTCAAACTACTTCAAAAACAAAACAAAAGTGATCCCCGAGATTCTTAAATCTACTTCAAAAACTAGTCACAAAGGATCCCGGAGATTCTTTTAAACTACTTCAAAAACAAAACACAAGTGGCTTCCGAAATTCTTTCAAATTAGTTCAAATACAAAACACAAGGGTTCCCAAGATTCTTTCAACCTACTTCAAAAACAAAACAAAAGTGGTCCCCGAGATTCTTAAATCTACTTCAAAAACTAGTCACAAAGGGCCCCGGAGATTCTTTTAAACTACTTCAAAAACAAAACACAAGGGACCCCCAAGATACTTTCAAACTAGTTCAACAATAAAATACAAGGGACCCCCAAGATTCTTTCACCCTACTTCAAAAACAACAAAAGTGGTCCCCGAGATTCTTAAATCTACTTCAAAAACTAGTCACAAAGGGTCCCGGAGATTCTTTCAAACTACGTCAAAAACAGAACGAAAGGGGTCCCCGAGATTCTTTCAAACTACGTCAAAAACAGAACGAAAGGGGTCCCCGAGATTCTCTGAAACTACTTCAAAAACAAAACAAAAGGGATCCCCAAGATTCTTCAAACTACTTCAAAAACCAGTTACAAGGGGTCCCGGAGATTCTTTTAAACTACTTCAAAAATAAAACAGGAGCACCCTAGATTCTTTCAAACTACTTCAAAAACTAGTCACAAAGGGTCCTGGATATTCTTTTAAACTACTTCAAAAACAAAACACAAGGGCTGCGACAAGAGATTTTTTCAAACTACTTCAAATATAAAATATAAGGGGCCCCCAAAATTCTTTCAAACCATTCAAATACAAAACAAAAGGGGTCCCGGAGATTCTTTTAAACTATTTCAAAAATAAAACACAAGGGGCTCTCGAAATTCTCTCAAACTACTTCAAAAACAAAACGAAAGGGTTGCCCGAGATTCTCTGAAATCAGTTAAAAAAAACCCAAGGAGATTCCGAGATTCTTTGAAACTACTTCAAAAACAAATAGGGTCCCCGATATTCTTTCAAATTACTTCAAAAACAATACACAAAGGGCCCTCGAGATTTTTTCAAACTACTTCAATAACCAGTTACAAGGGGTTCTGGACATTCTTTTAAACTACATAAAAAACAAAACACAAGGGACCCCCAAGATTCTTTCAAACTACTTCAAAAACAAAAAAAAAGGGGTCCCCGAGATTCTTCAAACTACTTCAAAAACCAGTCACAAGGGGTCCCGGAGATTTTTTAAAACTACTTCAAAAACAAATCAGGTCCCCCAGATTCTTTCAAACTACATACTTCAAAAATAAAACACAAGGGTCTTCGAGATTGTTTGCAACTACTTCAAAAACAAATGGGGTCCCTGAGATTCCTTCAAAGTACTTCAAAAACAAAACACAAGTGGTCCTCGAGATTTTTTCAATGACTTCAAGAGTAAAACACAAATCGTTCCCGAGATTCTTTCAAATTACTTCAAAAAAAGCGAAACAAAATGGGTTCCCAAGATCCTTGAGACTACGTTAAAAACCAGGGGTAAGGTAAGATTCTTTCAAACTACTTCAAAAATAAATTAGAAGGGGCTCCCGTGAATCTTTCAACCTAGTTCAAAAACAAGACGAGGGATCCCCAAGATTATTTCAAGCTATGTACTTCAAAACAAAAGGGGTCAGTGGGATTTTTAAAACTACTTCAAAAAAAGCGAAACAAAATGGGTTCCCAAGATCCTTGAAACTACTTTAAAAACCAGGCGCAATGGGCCCCCAGATTCTTTCAAACCATACTTAAAAAACTTTGCTTTAAATCCAAGACAACCGGGATCGTTGACACAATCTCGAGAACCGATTTCTTCAAACTATTTCAGACAAGGGATCCACAAGATTATTTCAAGCTATGTACTTCAAAAATAAAACAAAAGGGGTTCTCGAAATTCTCTGAAATTACTTCAAAAACAAAACACAAGGGGATCCCGAGATTCTTCGAAACTACTTCAAAAACAAATAGGGTTCCCAAGATTTTTCAAATTACTTCAAAAATCATACAGAAGGGGTCCCATAATTTTTTTCAAATTACTTCAAGAACAAAACAAATGGGAACCTCGAGATACTTTATAACCACTTCAAAAACTTTAACTTTAAAACCAAGACAAAAGAGACACTTGAGATTCTTTCGAACTACGTCAAAAACCAGACACAAGAGGCCCCCGAGATTCTTTCAAATTACTTCAAAGACAAGACATATGGAAATCGAGATTTTCCAGAGGCGCCAACAGCCGTAGTGTACACAGCGCCGGCGCCTGAATCCAGTTTTGTACACTTTTAAATGAAGTAAAATTTCGGCCTTTCAGGCGCCGGTCTAAAATTTTCCTGTCATTTCACCAGGTCTAATCCACTCCTGAATAGGGGTACAGCCAGTGATTGGAACTGAAGGTAAGCGAAGAAAAGTGTTGTTACCCTGATGGGAATCGAACCACACATCTCCCGCTTGCCGGGCGGGTGCCTTGACCACTAGACCACGAGGCCGCTTATCTTTCTTCGCTTACCAACGTGTTATTCTGCCGCCACACGATTTGTAGAGAAAAACAAAACAATATTTTTGAGTATTTGGTACAGCGTGGGTCTAGCTAATTTTCGTTGAAAAAATGAGCTGTCACAAAAATTGACCAAAAATCTACCAATTATCGAAATTGGCGAAATAATGAATATTTATTTTAAAAAATACACTATAACATAACAAAACACATAAAGCCAAGGTAATAACAATAGTCATGTCGGTGTTATCTGCTCCAATTAACCCCTAAAATGTTCCTCGCCTGTAACAACAAAATCAGCAAAAACCTCCACACATTTAGGGAATATTTACAGTCACAAAAGCCGAAGTAACAGCATCTTTCGGTCCTATACTCCCCAAGTCCGACTTGCACAAAATTTCATGAATTTGCACCGCCTCACCCAACCTCCTGTTTAAAAACTTCCACGTAGCTTCGTACTCGGCGGACGTGTCCTGGATTAAATAGAGCTCAGTGGCTTTGTACACTCCAGCCACCCCTATCCTCCTAGCGTACCAATTAAACTACAACAAACACCAATTTTTATTAATCGCTCAACAAACATCTAAACTAAATCATCCTCACATCTACCGACCGGTCACCAGCGTAGTAACAAATATCATCCACGGTAGTCAGCAGCGTCGCCAGAGCGTTAGGAACATTCGGCGGCAACGACATGATGGCAATCGCTTGGGGCCACCTGCTTAAATAAGGAATAATCATCTTAAGCCGGTTCTGCAGCGCCTTCTCGACGAACTGGGGCGGCGGCAGCGCGGACTTGGTCTGCGATTTTTCTAGCTACAACAAGCGGTGCAATAAGCGTGCAAACGTTTTCAAACTGTGTACTTCTTTCAGGATTTCTACGAGTTTTTGGTTGGAAGTACGGTGAAAGTAGTGGACTAGGTCGCCGCCTCCTTTGGGGAAGAGGCCGTGGATCACGCCTGGATAGCCCACGGCTTGGGCGCCGGAACTTAGGGCCTTTCGTGACCATCCCAGTTCGGTCACGAAGGGTAGAGAAGCTTCTAATATTTTGTCTTTAATGTCTGTTTCGTCCTGAGGGGGGTCCGAGGATTGGGTGGAGCATTTTCGGTAGGTCGACCATGCGGAGTGGGTTTCTAAGCACAAGCAATTAAAATTTAGAGCGACCACCGCCAAATCTGGGTTCCTATTGGTCAGAAAACACGTGTCTCGAATTAAAAAAAGTTAATAATTAAGCCAACTTTATTAAACCTTTCAAACGTACACATTGTTCTTTTTCAAGTTTATACATTCCATAACACGACTTAACAAACTATCAACAACGTCTAAAGTAGTCAGCGACAAGTTCATAATTTCTATTTTCTTCTCAGTAGGTATTTCGGCCAAATTCTTGCCCAACACGGTTACAGAAACCTCACAATCAGACTTTTCCTTGTTAGAACGAGCACTCTCCTCCTCTTCCTTAATTTTCAAACGATAATGCTCCTTAGCCATTGTTATCCCAATCTTCAAACTTTTAAAATACCCTTCATCCAAAATATCCAAATAACAATCAATCCCGGTTTCGCCCGTCTTATCAACAATAACTAGATATCGCAGAAAATTCAAAGTTGACACAATCTGGTCAGAATTGTCCACGAGATCTGTCTCTTCTCTGTTTTTTAATAGGGTAAACTCGTCTAGGAGGTCAAATAGTTTGTGTTCTTTGTAGTATTTGGACAAGTTTTTCAAATTCCCGTTTTTGATTTCTTCACTTAGCATTGCTTTGTACTGCATGATGAGGTTGCCTTTTAATCCACTGTGAGTCAAGTGGCGCATCAAATTAATAATGATTAAAAAGCGACCTTGATGTTCAAATGACCACAAATACTTGTGAAGAACACCTAAACTTGTTTTACGAATTTCTTGACTTTCATTGTGTATAATAACATTGGAGAGAGTCTTGCAAAATTTACTATGAACTTCCGAGTCTAACAGCAAGTAAGACAATTCCTGTTGGTTTATATTTTTAAGCAAAGCCGCCGCTAAATGGACCGATTTTTCCAGAACCAATTGCGATGTTTGCGACAGGAGAAAATTCACCAGATTTAGCGAATTGTGCAAAATATATACTAAACTATAAACTTTTGGCGCATCCTTGATACAAACTTCTTGAGACAAAATTAAATAGTAGAAAACACCTAAAGATAAATTGTTTGGTTTAAATAAATCACTGCCAAGGTCACCGTCACGCATTTCCAGAAACAAAAACGGGTCAGACGACAATGAAAAAAATTTCTCAATTAAATCCTCAGCGATTATCCGCGCCTGAGGCTTAGTGTTTTTTAAGACATCCATATCCAGAAAAGCCAACGGTTTCCCGAGTAGTTCGACCAGGAACTTCCGGACCACTTGTTTTCGTTCACAAACGTTGCTGCATTTATCATCACTCGCCAATTCCGCCACAAAAGTCTCACAAAATATTACCAAATTCTCGTACAACGTATTTATTCGGCGGACGCTTTCACTGGAATCAAGCAACAATCTTTCATCTCCAGTTAAATTCAAGTCTTCTGGTGTCTCCAAAGTCTCTAAATAGTGTTTAATGGCGTTGAAACACCACCCTAATGACGTGATTCGTTTATCCGGAACCCGCACCAGAACCGTCTTGAGTGGTTTCAGTAAAGCTAGAAACTTCGTATCGTCTTTGGCCAACTCAAGTTCTTCTATAAATTGTAGGAGAACTTCCTCCGGCTTTGCTTGCTCTGCAATAATGTCGATGATCTTCTGACAACACTTGAACACTCCAACATTGTTGTCTTCGCTTTCCTCGCTCAAAAACTTCGACACTATCGGGACCAAGTCCCACGAATTGTTGTAAACTTCCTCGCTGTTTCTGTTGTCTGTGAAAAGTGTCAACGCCTGGACCGTGTTACCCTCATTTAACAGAATGGAAATCGTATCCGCGAAATTGTTGTCGCCTAGTTCTGAAGTCATTCTAGCGCCAATTTTCGTTCACTAATGAATATTTATACTTGTAACCGCATGACATTTAAGCCGACGAAGTTAAAATGATTGAGGTTATGTTCACCCCGACTACAAACTACGAACCGTAAAAATACTCACGTCGTATATTCGCCCTGAGTGCCGTAAATAAAGTCAGGAGAGACATTTCTTATCACATTTAAATCATAAATAAAATTTAATTATTTCACACCTACAAAACTCGGTTGGTGTTTTTCGCACTATTCGACAGCTAAAGTTCCTACACCTTCTTGTAAAAAAAAATATTTGCACACGGATTTAAATAAACCTTGTCGTTATCTTATCGTTTTTGGATAACCCGTTGCCCGAAATCAGTGTTAAATATTCAACAATTCGAACGACGAAGGTTACACTGGTTACACAATTGTGGTTTATGTTGGCAGCACAAAACGCTAAAAACCCACTAACACCACCCTAATAACCCGAAATCCCGAAATGACAATGACAGTGGCAGCCGAAAAAAATTCTTATTTTCGTGCATCTCAATGAAAAGACAATTACAAAAGGATTTAAATGAAGTGCTTGTGTTTAACGCGTTTAAACTATGTCTACACGATCACAACTAACTAAGGACTTGAATGGTAAGCCCGAAAATCCCGATTTATTGCAATAAAAACAATGTTTACAATGGTCTGAAAGGGGAGTGTCAATATTGATGATTAATATAATTTGCAAGTTTATGTTTATGTGCTTCCGGGCTTTAGAATTAGTCGAAATTTAACACTTTGTTGAGTCCACGAAGTGTGCATGCTTGAAAGAACACAATGCATGTTTTAATTAAAATTTTCTTTTTGCAGAAAGTATAAAATCGTCAGTCGGAAATAAAGTAAAAATACTTTTTAAGAATGTCGTTCGGTTGGAAACAAAAGGAGACAAGACTGAAAATAGAGTTCTGGTGAGTTCATTTCATGAATTTACATTTCCATGTTTGTTCAAGTAGGTGCGATTTGTGTATGCAGATAAGATAAACAGTGAGGTAGGCAGATAATCGACAATTACTCTAACGAACTGTTGTCGCAAACGCCAATGATTTATTATCGCCACTAATTGTTTTATTATGACATTGTTGCAACAGTATTTTAATCATAATTAAATGTACCGCCGAAACGTAGTTGACGTGACGCCCGTTGAGGGCGCTGGCTTCTAACATAATTTTGACGTTTCTCGAGCGACTTTGTTGTCAAGTTTTTACCCAAATTTTTTTATAAACGCCACAAAAATCGTGTTTATTAGTCAAGTTAGACGTGTTTGTGTGTATTTAACGCCAAAATGCCGCGAGCCGAGGTCGGAACCCCCAAATACATCGCCAACAAAATGAAGGCAAAGGGGCTGCAGAAACTGCGGTGGTACTGCCAGATGTGTCAGAAACAATGTCGGGACGAAAACGGCTTCAAATGCCACATGATGTCGGAGTCCCATCAGCGCCAGCTTCTCCTCTTCGCCGACAATTCCAAGCGGATCATCGATGACTTTTCGTTCCAATTTGCCAAGGAGTATTTACAGATTTTGCGGCGACAGTTCGGCACGAAACGCGTGAATGCAAATCGGGTCTACCAGGAGTACATTTCCGATCGGAATCACTTGCACATGAATGCCACCCGATGGGTGACGTTAACCGGGTTTGTGAAGTGGTTGGGGCGCACTGGGAAGTGTATCGTCGATGAAACGGAGAAAGGGTGGTTCATTACTTACGTAGATCGAGATCCAGAGACCATCGCGAGGGAAGAAAAGAAAAACAAGAAGTTGAAAATGGATAAGGATGATGAGGAACGAACTATGGAGTTTGTGCAAAAACAAGTACAACTGGCGCAGGAGAAAGGACAAGGGAAAGAGGAACCAGTTTACACTGAGTTACTACGGGAAAACGAGGAAGAAAAGTTGAAGTTGGATTTGAAACTAGAACAAAAAAAAGACATCAAGCCTGTGGTTTTCGCACTCCCGAAGCGTCCACTGGATGAAGGGACTGGGACTTCCAAAAGCTTCAAGAAAGTCAAAACCGAAAATAGAAAGAAGACCGCGTTGGACGAAATCAAGGAGTTGGAGGAAATCAAGAAGGAGAAGAGTAATCGAAAGGATTATTGGGTTACAGAGGGTATAGTGGTTAAAGTTGTCACAAAAACTCTGGGAGACGAATTTTATAAAGAGAAAGGTGTTATCAAAGAAGTATTGAGTAAATATGTGGCGGTAGTGAAATTGTTTGAAAGTGGACGCAAGTTAAAGTTGGATCAGCAACATTTGGAGACTGTTATTCCTGCGATTGGAAAGTTGGTGAAAGTTGTAAATGGGGCGTATAGGGGGGAGACGGCCACTTTGGTTTCCATCAACGAGAAGAAATTTTGTGCTGAGATAAAAATTGCGTCGGGGTTGTTGATGGGGAGAACGATTACGGGGGTTGAGTATGAGGATATTTGTAAATTGAACGAAGAATCGTAATTTAATAATTTATGTGATTTTTTTGTTATAGATTTAAGTAGTTTACGCATGCTTTACAATAAAGTTATGGAATAAGTCTAGTGTGGTGTTTTATTACCTACTGAATTAGTATTTGAGTCGAACGGGCGACTGCCACTTTAATTTTCTCGACGTTTCATGACCAAAATCAAATTGTATAATTTTTCGAAAAGTCTGGATTTATTTACCTTTGACCAGTTTTTTGATGTCACAATTTTTCCAGTTCCTAGTTTTTATTTTTCATTTTCTCGATTTTGTGAGTTTTTCGTTTCCTTTATTTTTTCAATGTTCCTTTTGATGATTTTATAATTTTTTCCTTTATTCAATTTTTCAAGTTCTCAATCTGATTGTTTATTCTTCGATTTTCCAATTTTAAAAATTTTCAATTTGGCAATTTTTGGATTTCGAAATATCCGATTTTCTTTAAATGGAAAAATTCTAAAATCGTAAAATTGAAAACTAGAACAATTTGCAAGTCAAAAACTGAAGAAACAAAAAATCCAGAAACTGAAAAGTCTAAAATTAAAAAATCCAAAATTTGAAAAATTTTGCATTAAAAAAATATATAAAATCAGAACATTGAAAAACCGAAAAACTGAAAAAGTAAAGAAAATAAAAAAAACAAACGAAAAATTACAAATCGAAAAACTAAAAAAATGCAAAATCGAAAAATTGAAATTGAAAACGCAAAAAATTATAAAATTGGCAGATTGAAAAATTGTAAAATAAAAACTCGGAAAATGGAAAAGTCGTATTAATACAAAAATTTTAAAATCCAATAATTGAAAAATGGAAATTTTCTAAAATCGTAAAATTGAAAAAGTCAAATACATACCTATTTTAGAAATTATTACATATTTAAAGTGCAAATAAAAAATTGAAGAAACGCAAATTTGAAAAATCTAGAAGTTGAAAAATCGAAAAATTGCAAATAGAAAAATTGAAAATTCCAAAAGTTGAAAAAGTTCACATTAAAAAAAAAGAAAAATTATAAAATCAGCACATTGAAAAAACGAACAATTGAAAAAATAAATAAAGTAAAAAACCGAAACGAAAAATTGCAAAATTTCACATTAAAAAAATATGTATAAAATCAAAAAAATAAAAAACATACTCGAAAAATGCAAAATCTAAAAACTGAAACTTCCAAACGCTGGAAAATTAAATAATGAAAACTCGGAAGAGTTGCATTCTTAAAAAAAAAATAAACATTGGCAAATCGAAAAAATGAAATCGAAATTGAATTGAAATGCAAATAAAAAATTGAAGAAACGAAAATTTGAAAAATCTGAAAGTTGAAAAACTGAAAACCAAAAAGTTGGAAATAAAAAAATTGAAAATTCCATAAATTGAAAAAAATAAAGATTATAAAACGAAACAAAAAAACGCAAATCGAAAAATTGCAAAATTTCACATTAAAAAAATATGTATATAAAATCAAAAACATTTTTAAAAATATTCGAAAAAATGCAAAATCTAAAAACTGAAACATCCAAAAGCTGGAAAATTAAATAATGCAAACTTGAAGAGTTGCATTCTTAAAAAAAAGTTAAACATTGGCAAATCGAAAAATTGAAATCGAACTTGAATTGAAATGCAAATAAAAATTGAAGAAACGAAAATTTGAAAAATCTGAAAGTTGAAAAATTGAAAACCAAAAAATTGGAAATAGGAAAATTGAAAATTCCATAAATCGAAAAAAAATAGAAAAATTATAAAATCAGAACATTGAAAAAACGAACAATTAAAAAAATTAAGAAAATAAAACGAAACAAAAAAACGCAAATCGAAAAATTGCAAAATTTCACATTAAAAAATATGCATATAAAATCAAAAAAAATCGAAAAAACATCCGAAAAAATGCAAAACCTAAAAACTGAAACATCCAAAAGCTGGAAAATTAAATAATGAAAACTTGAAGAGTTGTATTCTTAAAAAAAAAATTAAACATTGGCAAATCGAAAAATTGAAATCGAACTTGAATTGAAATGCAAATAAAAAATTGAAGAAACGAAAATTTGAAAAATCTGAAAATTGAAAACCAAAAAATTGGAAATTGAAAAATTGAAAATTCCATAAATTGAAAAAAACAGAGAAATTATAAAATCAGAACATTGAAAAAACGAACAATTAAAAAAATAAAGAAAATGAAACGAAACAAAAAAACGCAAATCGAAAAATCGCAAAATTTCACATTAAAAAAATATGTATATAAAAACAAAAAATTTTTTAAAAATATTCGAAAAAATGCAAAATCTAAAAACTGAAACATCCAAAAGTTGGAAAATCAACAATTTGAAAAATTAATTAAATAACGAAAACCCGAAGAGTTGCATTCGTAAAAAAATGAAAAATCAAAGAATTATAAAATGGGAACATTGAAAAATCGAAAAATTATAAAAATTGAGAAAACGAAAAACCGCAGGTCGAAAATCTGAGGAAACGAAAAATTGAAGGATTAAAAAAATTTAAAATTAAAAATAAAAAAAAATTGAGAAAATAAAAAACCGTAAATCGAAAATTTGAAGACATGAAAAATTGAAGAATCAAAAAATAGAAAAATTAAAAGTCGAAATTGAAAAATCCAAAAATTGAAAGAAAAAGTTCACATTGAAAAACCGAAACAAAAAATTGTAAATCGAAAAATTGCAAAATTTCACATTAAAAAAATATGTATATAAAAACAAAAAATTTTTAAAAATATTCGAAAAAATGCAAAATCTAAAAACTGAAACATCCAAAAGTTGGAAAATCAACAATTTGAAAAATTAATTAAATAACGAAAACCCGAAGAGTTGCATTCGTAAAATAATGAAAAATCAAAGAATTATAAAATGGGAACATTGAAAAATCGAAAAATTATAAAAATTGAGAAAACGAAAAACCGCAGGTCGAAAATCTGAGGAAACGAAAAATTGAAGGATTAAAAAATTTTAAAATTAAAAATAAAAAAAAATGAGAAAATAAAAAACCGTAAATCGAAAATTTGAAGACATGAAAAATCGAAGAATCAAAAAATAGAAAAATTAAAAGTCGAAATTGAAAAATCCAAAAATTGAAAGAAAAAGTTCACATTGAAAAACCGAAACAAAAAATTGTAAATCGAAAAATTGCAAAATTTCACATTAAAAAAATATGTATATAAAATCAGAACATTGAAAGACCGAAACATTGAAAAAGTAAAGAAAATAAAAAACCCATAAATGACAAATCGAAAAATTGAAAAAATTGAAATTGAAAACGCAAAAAATTATAAAATCGGAACATTGAAAAATCGAATAATTATAAAAATTGAGAAAATAGAAAAACGCAAATCGAAAATTTGAAGAAATGATAAATTGAGTCAAAAAATTGAAACTGAAAACGCAAAAAATTATAAAATCGGAACATTTAAAAATCGAATAATTATAAACATTGAGAAAATAAAAACCCGCAAATCGAAAATTTGAAGAAATGAAAAATTGAATAAAAAAATTGAAAAATTAAAAAACGAAAAATTGAAAAGTCGAATAAATGAAAGTTTTAAAATTGAAAAATCGAAAATTTCTAAAATCGTAAAATTGTAAAAGTCTATTATTAAAACTATTATTATTATTACATATTTGAAATTCAAATCAAATATTGAGGAAACGAAAAATTGAAAACCAAAAAATTGCAAATAGAAAAATTGAAAAATGGAAAATTTAAAAACTTCACATTGAAATAAAGGAAAGTTATAAAATCAGAGCACTGAAAAACACAACAATTGAAAAATTAAAGAAAATAAAAAACCCAAACGAAAAATTGCAAATCGAAAAATTTGAAGACCTAAAAAATCGAAAATTGAAAACTGTGAAACTGGAAATCTAAAAATTGAATCATCCATAAGTTGATTATCCAAATCGAAAAATTAAAGAAACGAAGAATTGAAGAAATTGAAACAAACTAAAAATTATAAAATAAACATTGAAAAATCGAAAAATTGTGAAAATACAGAAAATAAAAAACCGTAAATTTTGCTATATATGCTAATAAAAAATTTAGCAAATCGAAAAATTGAAAAAATTAAAATTGAAAACGCAAAATTATAAAATCGGGAAAGTCGAATAAAACCACAAAATTGCAAATAAAAAAATTGAAAAATCCAGAAATTTAAAAAGTTCATATTGAAAAAAAGAAAAATCATAAAATCAATACATTGAAAAACCGAACAATTGTAAAAATAAAGAAAAATTTGAAGACTTGAAAAAACGAAAAATTGAAAACTTGTGGTACTGGAAATTTAAAAACTGAACCATCCAAAAGTTGAAATTGCAAATTGAAAAGTTGAAAAATTGCAATCGAAAAATTAAAGAAACGAAGAATTGAAAAAACTGAAATTGAAAAAAAAAACAAAAAATTATAAAATCGACACAATGAAAAATAGAAAAATGGTGAATGTATTGAAAATAAAAAACCGCAAATTTTGCTGTACATGCTAATAAAAAATTGCAAATCGAAAATTTAAAAAAATTAAAAATTGAAAACTCGAGAAATTTAAAAAAAGTTGTAGAATCACAAATCGAAAAATAGAAGAAACGAAAAATTAAAAATTAAAATTGAAAAGATTAAGAAAATATAAAATCGAAACGAAAAATTGCAAATCTAAAAATTTGAAGACTTGAAAAATAAAAAAATTGAAAACTTGTGAAACGGAAAATCTAAAAATTAAACCATCCAAAAGTTGAAATTGTAAACCGAAACGTTGAAAAATTGCAATCGAAAAATTAAAGAAACGAAGAATTGAAAAGATTGAAATTAAAAAAAAATAGAATTGAAACATTGAAAAATCTAAAATTGTGAAAATACAGAAAATAAAAAAACGTAAATTTTGCTATATGTATATGTATGCTAATAAAAAATTGCAGATCGAAAATTTGAAAAAATTAAAAATCGAAAACTCGAGAAATTTTAAAACGGAAAGTTGAAAAATCACAAATCGAAAAACTGAAGAAACGAAAAATTAAAAAAAAAAGAAAACAAAAAACCGAAACGAAAAATTGCAAATCGAAAAATTTGAAGACTTGAAAAATCAAAAAATTAAAAACTTGTGAAACTGGAAATCTAAAAATTGATCCATTCAAAAATTGAAATTGCAAATCGAAACGTTGAAAAATTGCAGTTGAAAAATTGAAGAAACGAAGAATTGAAAAAATTGACAAAAAAAAGCAGAAAAATTAGAGTCGAAACATTGAAAAATCGAAAAATTGTGAAAATACAGAAAATAAAAAAACGCAAATTTTGTTAAATATGCTGATAAAAAATTGCAAATTAAAAATTTGAAAAAAATTAAAAATCAAAAACTCGAGAAATTTTAAAAAGAAAAGTTGAAATATCGCAAATCGAAAAACTGAAAAAACGAAAAATTCACAAAATTAAAATTGGAAAAATTAAGAAAATAAAAAACCGAAACGAAAAATTGCAAACCTAAAAATTGAACCATCGAAAAGTTGAAATTACAAATCGAAACGTTAAAAAATTGCAGTCGAAAAATTAAAGAAACGAAGAATTGAAAAAATTGAAATTAAAGAAAAATGGAATTGAAACATTAAAAAATCTAAAAATACAGAAAATACAGAAAATAAAAAACGTTAATTTGGCTATATGTATGTATATGGCTAATAAAAAATTGCAAATTGAAAATTTGAAAAAATTAAAAATTGATAACTCGAGAAATTTTAAAACGGAAAGTTGAAAAATCGCAAATCGAAAAACTGAAGAAACGAAAAATTGCAAATCGAAAAATTTGAAGACTTGAGAAACCAAAAAATTAAAAACTTATGAAACTGGAAATCTAAAAATTGATCCATCCAAAAATTGAAATTGCAAATCGAAAAGTTGAAAAATTGCAATCGAAAAATTAAAGAAACGAAGAATTAAAAAAATTGAAATTAAAAAAAAAACAAAAAATTATAAAATCGAAACACTGAAAAATCGAAAAATTGTGAAAATACAGAAAATAAAAAACCGCAAATTTTGCTATAAATGGTAATAAAAAATTGCAAATCAAAAATTTGAAGAATTAAAAATTGAAAACTCGAGAAACGTGAAAACGAAAAGTTGAAAAATCACAAATCGAAAAACTGAAGAAGCCAAAAATAAAATAAATTAAAATTGAACAAATTAACAAAATACAAAACGGAAACGAAAAATTGCAAACCGAAAAATTTGAAGACTAGAAAAGTCGAAGTTGCAAATCGAAAAGCTGAAAAATTTCAATCGAAAAATTAAAGAAACGAATTGAAAAAACTGAAATTACTGGAATTGAAAAAAACAAAAAATTATAAAATCGAAATTTGAAAAATTAAAGATTGAAAACTCGAGAAATTTGACAACGAAAAATTGCAAAATCTAAAAATTGAGGAAACAAGAAAAATGAGAAATTGAAAAATTCAAAAGTTGAAAATTGAAAAGCTGATAAATTTGAACTTGAAAACTCGAAAAATTGCAAATCGAAAAACTGAGAAACACAAAAAATTGAAAAATTGAACAATTGAAAAATTAGTTAGTTATTTTCACCACTGTTGAAGTTATCAAAAAATAAAAATCGCAAAAAAGATTTATAATTTGTTAAACAAGATTTATTGGGCTGCACTTCACAAGCGAGGGAATTTCGGTCGAAATAACCTTCGACCATTTTTTATTTCTCGGTTATGCGTCACTGTGACAGGAAATGACGTCAGTTCCTCAATTTTGTTTGGGTTATGATATGACATATCTAATAGTTTCATGGAAAAACAAACACGCGTGGCCTCTGTCTAGCATTACAGTATTTTAAATTTAAAAGGTAGTACATCAAGTTGTGAATTTTGCCGCTTCGTTGTGATGACGTAAATCATCGCTGGTTGCAGCGAAATAGGGGCAAATTTGAACATTTCTTGTAGAGATGTAATTGAATACACAATATTCTTATTTATGTTACTTTTAGATTGTAATAAAAAAGTTTAATCTTTTTTCATGAAAGGTTTAAATATTTGAAGAATACTTGTAGGAATTTGAAATATGATTTTAGTTATAGTTTTAACAAAATAGTGGTAGCGACACTAGTAACCCTTTTGTTGAATTTAGGTATTTTCTCCATGTCGCATCTTACTGCTCACAGCAAAAGTGCCAACAAAAGTAAGTTTATTTAAACAAATCCCCAATTTTTCAAAATCCCGTTTAAGATCGACTGCCATTTCCACTACTTGGAAATACAAGCGCTGGAAAGCAAACGAGGCAATCAGCTGAGTTTGACCATAAACGACAAGGTCTACTCATTTTTAACAGGCGACGATTCAACATGCAGCGCAGAAGTAGACAACATGATTTCCGCATTGAACAATGCCATAAGAAACATTTTTCCAACCGTCCCGCTTCAGCACATCATCAAAAAAGTAACCCAAAAACCACCATAATCCCCCATAATCAACCTCATTTTTAGATCGACGTCATACCCAACACCAGGCTTCAGCAGCTGCGAGATCTAGAAGCCATCGCTAGCAGTAGACGCGAAGTGGGGCCTTGTGGGGGCTTCTCGACCCAATATGCTTGCATGTGCGACTACCACGGGATGACCTACCGCGAAGAAGTGGCTTGGGACGTCGACAATATCTACGTATCCCTAAATACACGAGAATTATGCCTTAAAGATTTCGATTATTTAGATCAAAAGTGGGTTTCGGGGATATGGTTTCAAAATGATAAGGGTTTGTGTTGCAGAGACTTAATTCCGATAATCAGCGCGCTGGAGTATAACACGTGGTTTACGAAATTGAGGGCTAACCAGGTGAAGCTGAGTCACGACAACATCGACAGAATTCTTCACGTTTTGAGGAAGTCGCTCAACTTGGAGGAGTTGTATTTGGACAATTTGGGGTTGAAGGCGGATTTTGTAAATAAATTGGGGAGTGTTTTGAAGATGAACCCGGCGTCGGCCCTCCACACCATAGATTTATCTTATAATACTATTGAAGACAAAGGTTGGAGGGTGGTTGGGTTTGATTTAGTTTGATTTTTGATTTTTGGCAGGTGCTATTTATCTATCAGGTTGTATTTCTCGGCTCAATAAAGGACTTGTCCATTTAAATGTGGCCCATTGTGGACTTAGTTCCAAGGGTGTCAATCATCTAGCAGCAGCACTCAATAATAATAATAGCGTATTGACAACACTTACTTATCTCAACTTGTGCGGAAATAGCCTCAAGGACGATATAAGTGTAGGTAGCGACCCTTCTAAATGTATACAATGTGTACGAGTTTCACTTTCAGAATCTACACACGTTTTTCTCAAATCCTAATGCACTCCAGCATATAGATATATCGGGCACTGACGTAATATTGGAAAATGTGAGTATGTTTTTTTATACTGTGTTGATGTTTATGTGTTTGCTTTTAGTTGTTTGGTGCTCTCGTTCGTGGCTGTACAACCAATCTAGTTCATTTAAATATTTCTAAGAACCCGTTTAGTAGTAAAAAGAATAAAGAGGCTCCCATATCGTTTAAGCAGTTTTTCAGCACCACCCTTAATCTTAAGTTTCTTAATATGTCTCATTGTAAGCTTCCGCAAGAGGCGTTAAAGTAAGTCGGTTTTGGTGTATGGAGAGCGGTGTTTGATGTGTCTGTTTTAGGAACTTGTTGTTGGGCTTGGCTTGCAATGAATTTACCAAAGAAATGTCTTTAGATATAAGTAATAACGGATTAGGAAGTCAGGGTGCCCACGTTTTAGAATCATGTGTTCATGGTGTTCGCTGCATTTCTAGTCTAGATATATCGGATAATAGTAAGTGGTTTTTATTTTATTTTAAATAGGACCGAGGTGACATCGTTTGTGGATTTCGGTAAAAATACAAAACTACAGAAATAACTGGAAAACTTGACAAATCATCTGTTCGCCACTATATTTGACCGCAACTGTCAAAGTGAATAAGAAACACTTTAGTGTTGCCAACATAATTTTTTTAACATTAAATTTCAAAGGTTGCTAGATGACTAACTTTATGTGATAGATTTTTGGCATAATTTTGAATTGAAAAAAAAGTGACTGCGTATTTACCGTTCCGGATGTTTTTAGGCCATGTAATTATAGTAATTTGGTTGGCAACCAATTTCGTATATGCAAATATCCCTAATGAAAAATGAAATTTATCATATTAGGTTAAGTTGTTTTTAATGCAAAATGACAAAAATTGTACCAGTTTGTATTCTCCATTCCAATAAGTACATTTCAGAGCACTGAAGTAAACAATTATTATTTCAGTATTTAATAAGTCAATTCAGTGTTAACTTTAATAATTCGAATCAACATTTTTGATTATATTATACCGGTGTCAGGAAAATGGCGGACTCTTCAATTTCGGGAGTCCCAAAAAATAATAAAAAAAATTTTTATGATGTAGACTACAAAAAAAACCGTAATTTTATAAAAGTAAAATTGGCAACACTGCACGCACCTAATGTGTGAATGCCTCCAGTTTACTTTCTGATTTCTTAATAACGATGATGACTGAAATGATGAATCATGGAATCTAAACTAAGAAGATAAAACTTATTTTATTGGATGAAAAGTAGATTTCATATTGCTAAATTGTGAAATCTAAACAAAAAAAGGTAAAACTAATCCCACCCACTTCCACGTTAGAATTTCATTGTCTTCTTTTATTTACTGTGAGATGAAGATTGAATTTTACTTTGACAAGTGTTCGAATCTACAATTATTATTGAAAAAACCTTCAAAATGGCCCCGCCCACCCACCCGATTTTCTTCTCAATCAGTCATTTTATTGGACAAAAAGTGGATTTTATTTCGATAAGTGGTGAAATCTAAACAAAAAAGGTAAAAGTAATCCCACCCACTTCCACTTTTGATCTTGATTGGCCTATTTTATTGGAGGAAAAGTGAATTTTGAATTGATGAATAATGGAATCTAAATTGAAAAGGTAAAACAAATCCCACCCACATCCACTTTTGAATTTCATTGGTTTATTTTACTTACTTCGAGATGAAGATCGAATTTTATTTTGCCAAGTTTCGAATCTATGATTAAGAAAAACTTCAAAAACTTGCTAAGATAAAACTAATTTTGGCAAATAACGTGCCCACTAAGAAAAGAGAGGGTAGGTGGGCGTGGCTAGTAGTTGCTAAAATAGTAAGACCGATTTTAGCGAATGAGATACCTTTGAAGAAAAAAGACGGCGGGTGGGCGGAGCTAGTACCTGCTAAGATAAAACTGATTTTGGCAAATGAGATATCCTCCAAGAAAAGAGAGGGCGGGTGGGCGGGTCTAGGACCTGCTACGATAAAATTGATTTTGGCAAATAACGTACCCTCTAAGAAAAGAGAGGGCGGGTGGGTGGGGTTAGTACCTGCTAAGATAAGACTGACTTAACAAATGGCGTATCTTCTAAGAAATTTAATTAAATTATTATAAGAAAAGACACTGGAGGCTCCAAGGCACTTTCAAATTATCTATACTTTTTTGACTTTTTGATTTTAACTTTTTCAATTTTTCAAAATTTCAGATTCCTCAATTTTACAAATCTCAATTTTTGAATTTTGCGATCTGTCAATTTTTTGATTTTTTAAATTTTAGATATGTATTTCGATTTTTCACTCCTTTGTTTTTCTATTTTTCAGTTTTTGGAATTTTTAAATTTAAAATTTTTCACTTTTGTGATGTTTCGATTTTTCGACTTTTCGCTTTTAGATTTCTCGGTGTTTTCAATTTTTCGAGTTTTAAAATTTTTGATTTCCATTTTGTTAAATTTTCGATATTTTGATTTTTCTATTTTCCAATTTTTCTAATTTTTGAAATTTACATTTTTCATTTTTTTGACGTGTCGATTTCTCCATGTTTCGATTTTTCGATTGATCGCTTTTTTAAAGTTTAAATGTTTTCAATTTCGAAATTTTCGGTTTTGGGCTATTTCTATTTCTCAGTTTTTCGTTTTTCCGACTTTTCTTTTTTCCCAATTTTTTGATTTCTCAATTTTCTGTTATGATGTTTCAGTTTTTCTATTCTTCATTTTTTCGATTTTAAAATTTTGTAATGCTTCAAATTTTGGCGTTTCTAAGCTTTCGGTTTTCAATTTGGGATTTTTGAATATGTATTTCGAGTTTTCAGTTTTTCAATTTTTCTACTTTTTATTTTTTTGATTTTCTACTGTTTCGATTTTTCAAAATTTTTCAATTTTAAAAATTTTAGATTCTTCGATTTTACAATTTTTCGTTTTTTGCTGTCTTAATTTCTCGATTTATCTTTATGATTTTATCTGGACTTTCTCAGTTTTTCGGTTTCTCAATTTTCCGATATTTCAGTACCACGATTTTTTAATTTTCAGATTCTTCACTTTTTCGATTTTTAAATATGTTAAATTTTGGCTTTTCTAAATTTTCGATCGGTTTCAATTTAGAATTTTCGACTTTTCCGATTTTTCGATTTCCCGGTTTTTCGCTTTCCCAATTTTCCGATATTTCGGCTCCACGATTTTTCAATTTTTAGATTCTTCAATTTATGAATTCTTCACTTTTATGATTTAAAATTTTTCAAATGATCGGTTTCAATTTAGAATTTTCGGATTTTTCAATTTTGGGCTATTTCAATTTCTCAATTTTTCGAATTTTCGACTTTTTTCAGTTTTTCAATATTTCGACTTTCCCAGTTTCTCGGTTTCTCAATTTTCCAATATTTCAGCTCCACGATTTCTCAATTTTTAAATTCTTCAATTTATCGATTCTTCACTTTTACGCTTTTGAAATTTTTCAAAATTTCAAATTTTGGCGTTTCTAAATTTACGATTTCTCGATTTTTTTTGATTTTTCTATTTTTTAATTTTTCGAATTCTCATGTTTTCGATGTGTCAGTTTTGGTATTTTTCAATTTGTATTTCGATTTTTCAGTTTTTCGGTTTAAATTTTAAAATTTTACGTTCTTCTATTTTATAATTTTTCGTTTTTTTTTTGGTGTTTTGATTTGTCGATTTATCTAGATTTTGTTGTTCCGATTTTTCAATTTTTCAGTTGATTGGTTTCAATTTAGAATTTTCGACATTTCCGATTTTTCAATTTTTAGATTCTTCAATTTATGAATTCTTCACTTTTACGATTTTTAAATTTTTCAATTGATCGGTTTCAATTAAGAATTTTCGGATTTTTCAATTTTCGGCTATTTCAATTTCTCAATTTTTCGAATTTTCGACGTTTTCCAGTTTTTCAATATTTCGACTTTCCCAGTTTCTCGGTTTCTCAATTTTCCAATATTCAGCTCCACGATTTCTCAATTTTTAAATTCTTCACTTTTACCCTTTTGAAATTTTTCAAAATTTCAAATTTTGGTGTTTCTAAATTTTCGATTTCTCGATTTTTTTGATTTATCGATTTTTGAATTTTTCGATTTCTCATGTTTTGGTATTTTTCAATTTATATTTCGATTTTTCAGTTTTTCGGTATAAATTTTAAAATTTTACATTCTTCTATTTTATAATTTTTCGTTTTTTTTTGGTGTTTTGATTTGTCGATTTATCTAGATTTTGTTGTTCCGATTTTTCAATTTTTCAGTTGATCGGTTTCAATTTAGAGTTTTCGACATTTCCGATTTTTCAATTTTTAGATTCTTCAATTTATGAATTCTTCACTTTTACGATTTTTAAAATTTTCAATTGATCGGTTTCAATTAAGAATTTTCGGATTTTTCAATTTTGGGCTATTTCAATTTCTCAATTTTTCGAATTTTCGACTTTTTCCAGTTTTTCAATATTTCGACTTTCCCAGTTTCTCGGTTTCTCAATTTTCCAATATTTCAGCTCCACGATTTCTCAATTTTTAAATTCTTCAATTTATCGATTCTTCACTTTTACGCTTTTGAAATTTTTCAAAATTTCAAATTTTGGTGTTTCTAAATTTTCGATTTCTCGATTTTTTTTTTTTTTGATTTTTCGATTTTTCAATTTTTCGATTTCTCATGTTTTCGATGATTCAGTTTTGGTATTTTTCAATTTATATTTCGATTTTTCAGTTTTTCGGTTTAAATTTTAAAATTTTACATTCTTCTATTTTATAATCTTTCGTTTTTTTTGGTGTTTTGATTTCTCTATTTGTCTAGATTTTGTTCTTCCGATTTTACAATTTTTCAATTGATTGGTTTCAATTTAGAATTTTCGGCTTTTGCAAATTTTCGATTTCCCGCTTTTTCGGTTTCTCAATATTCCGATATTTCAGCTCCACAATTTTCAAATTTTTAGGTTCTTCAATTTATGAATTCTTCACTTCTACGATTTTTAAATTTTTCAATACATATTTCAAATTTTGGCATTTCTAAATTTTCTGTTCCTCGATTTTTCAATTTTTCAGTTGATCGGTTTCAATTTAGAATTTTCGACATTTCCGATTTTTCAATTTTTAGATTCTTCAATTTATGAATTCTTCACTTTTACGATTTTAAAATTTTTCAATTGAACGGTTTCAATTAAGAATTTTCGGATTTTTCAATTTTGGGCTATTTCAATTTCTCAATTTTTCGAATTTTCGACATTTTCCAGTTTTTCAATATTTCGACTTTCCCAGTTTCTTGGTTTCTCAATTTTTAAATTCTTCACTTTTACGCTTTTGAAATATTTCAAAATTTCAAATTTTGGCGCTTCTAAATTTTCGATTTCTAGATTTTTTTTGATTTTTCGATTTTTTAATTTTTCGATTTCTCATGTTTTCGATTATTCAGTTTTGGTATTTTTCAATTTGTATTTCGATTTTTCAGTTTTTCAGTTTAAATTTTAAAATTTGACATTCTTCTATTTTATAATTTTTCGTTTGTTGGTGTTTTGATTTCTCGATTTATCTAGATTTTGTTGTTCCGATTTTTCAATTTTTCAATTGATCGGTTTCAATTTAGAATTTTCGACTTTTCCGATTTTTCGATTTCCCGGTTTTTCGCTTTCCCAATTTTCCAATATTTCAGCTCCACGATTTTTCAATTTTTAGATTCTTCAATTTATTAATTCTTCACTTTTACTATTTTTAAATTTTTCAATTGATCGGTCTCAATTAAGAATTTTCGGATTTTTCAATTTTGGGCTATTTCAATTTCTCAATTTTTCGAATTTTCGACTTTTTCCAGTTTTTCAATATTTGACTTTCCCAGTTTCTCGGTTTCTCAATTTTCCAATATTTCAGCTCCACGATTTCTCAATTTTTAAATTCTTCTATTTATCGATTCTTCACTTTTACGCTTTTGAAACTTTTCAAAATTTCAAATTTTGGCGTTTCAAAATTTTCGATTTCTCGATTTTTTTTTTGGATTTTTCGATTTTTTAATTTTTCGATTTCTCATGTTTTCGATGATTCAGTTTTGGTATTTTTCAATTTGTATTGCGATTTTTCAGTTTTTCGGTTTAAATTTTAAAATGTTACATTCTTCTATTTTATAATTTTTCGTTTTTTTTTTGTGTTTTGATTTCTCTATTTGTCTAGATTTTGTTCTTCCGATTTTACAATTTTTCAATTGATTGAAACCAATTTAGAATTTTCGGCTTTTGCAATTTTTCGATTTCCCGCTTTTTCGGTTTCTCAATTTTCCGATATTTCAGCTCCACAATTTTTCAATTTTTAGGTTCTTCAATTTATGAATTCTTCACTTCTACGATTTTTAAATTTTTCAATACATATTTCAAATTTTGGCACTTCTAAATTTCCTGTTCCTCGATTTTTCGATTTTTCAGTTGTTCGGTTTAAATTTTAAAATTTTAGATTCTTCTATTCTACAATTTTTCGTTTTTTGGTGGTTTGATTTCTCGATTGATCTAGATTTTGATGTTCCGATTTTTCAATTGATCGGTTTCAATTAAGAGTTTTCGGATTTTTCAATTTTGGGCTATTCAGTTTTTGGATATTTCGACATTCCCGGTTTCTCGGTTTCTCAATTTTCCGATATTTCAGCTCCAGGATTTCACAATTTTTAGATTCTTCAATTTATCGCGTCTTCACTTTTACGATATTTAAATTTTTCAGTGTTTCAAATTTTGGCGTTTCTAAATTTTCTATTCCTCCATGTTTTGATATTTTGATTTTTTGATTTCGCATGTTTTCGATGCTTCAGTTTTGGTATTTTTCAATATGTATTTGGATTTTTCAGTTTTTCGCTTTTTTGACTTTTTGATTTTAAATTATTATGAGAAAAGGCATTAGAGGCTCCAAGGCACTTTCAAATTCTTTCCAAACAGGAATATGTAAAACGTCAAGATTGTTTTAAATTTTTCAAAAAAAATAAATAACGGGGTCCCAAAATTGACTTAAAAACAGGTCAGGTCAGAATTTTCCAAAAATAGAACACCAAAGTCCCCCAAAATTGTTTTAAATAACAATTTATAAGAAATCTCCATGGGCTCCCAAAATAATACACCTTGGGTTCCTAAGAGTCTCCCGAATTAAAAAAAAAAAAAATACTGCGGTACTCAAGACTTTCAAATTCACACAAAATACCTACAACACTAAAAACTCAAACACAGGGGATCTAAAATTAACTGTGAGTGAGTCATTTATTATTAATGGAAAATCAAACTCCCCTCTGTCATTACTCCCCCATTTATTTTCCAGACATGGACGGTGATTTAGCCAACGTAGTTCTAGCAATAAGTAAAAACAAATCCCTGCGCCACCTCCAAATGGGCCGCAGCATGAAAAAACACATGTCTACCATAATGGACTCGGTCGTCCAAATCCTCCAAGACGACGAATGCCTTCTCCAAACCCTCGTCATCTCCGACTGCCGCCTCCGCTCCGACATGTACAACCTCCTCAACGCCCTCGGCGACAACAAGTCCCTCGAGACCCTGGACATCAGCGGCAACCTCATCGGAGACTCCGGCGCCCGCCTCCTGGCCAAGGCGCTCCAAATCAACAACAAACTCAAGACCGTCGTCATCGACAGAAACAACATCACTCTGCAAGGGTACCACGACCTCGCCTACGCCCTCGAAAGCAATAGAACCGTGCAATACATTCCCTTCCCCATCTTCGACGTCACCCCCTGCATGAAAGCCAACACCGAGAAGACCGACGGCGTCATGAAGAAAATCCAGGACCTGCTGAACCGGAACGTCACGCTGAAACGCAACCTGCTGAAGCCGATCCCGCTGCAGCCGGGATTCCTGCTGACCTCGAAACAACAGGCGCTGGAGAGGCTGGTGGCGCAGACGCAAGAGGCGATCAAGAATTCGGCGCTGGACTCGATCATGTCGCATAATGACATCAACCACGCGACGGGGGTCATCCAGGATGCGGAGAACTCGAAGCAGCTGTTGGTGAGGCTGCAAGAGGTGGCCAAACATAGGGACGATGGGCATCCGGTCGAGGCGAAACTGCAACAAGCGGCTTGTGATATACACAACAGCATCTGTGATTATTTGCAGGTAAAGTTTTCATTTCGAAGTATGCAACCAGTAATACTAGAAACTGTCAGTTATTGGAGATTGGGTGCTCAGAGGGATTTCACCCTTTCAAAATATGACAAAAATAACGTAAAACATCGCCCAAAATTATTGTAGTTGCATTTTTTAACTCTGAACATATCCCATGGCTAGAAAAAAAACAAATCAATGCCAGTGAGTATAGATGTTAAAAGAGAGGCAACCTTATGGACAAGGGCGGGGCTAATACTCCGTCTTACCCCCCACTTCACTTCATCCATAAACGTAATAGTGGATAGTGGCTCTCCCGTGCTGGTACCTAGTTTAAAGAAAAACTCAAGGCGGAATCGTAGACCACAACTATGGGCGTATATTATTGCATAACATTTAAATCATTTGAAAATCAAATTTGAAATAATGTCATCAAATTGTTGGTGGGAATGATTAGCCAAATTTTGGTTACCGTTTTATTGTCCACATGATACCCCAAACATGTACGAAATTTGACAACAATCGGCACAGTTGTTTCGGAGGTAAGATTTCTAAAAAAAATTTCTTCGAATTTTCGATTTTTCGACTTTTTATTTTTTGATTTCTCGAGTTTTCAATTTTGCGATATTGTAATTGTTCAATGTTTTAAATTTTAGATTTTTGGATTTCTCGATTTTTTTATTTTTCAGTTCTTCAGTACATATTTCTATTTCTCAATTTTTAATATTTTTTCCAGTTTTGGGAATTTTCAATATTTCGTTTCTTCGAATTTTTCGACTTTTCGACTTCTGAATTTTTCGATTTTTTATTTTTTCATTTTTCAAACTTTGGATTTTTTAGTTTTTCGACTGTTTTATATTTCGATTTCTCAATTTTTCAACTTCTCGTTATTGTAATTTTTCATTTTTAAAATTCTAGATATTTCTATGTCTCGAGTTCTCAGTTCTTCTATATTTTAATTTTTTTATTTTCCCAATTTTTAAATTACGATTTTTCAATTTTTGAGATCTCGACTTATCAATTTTTCCATTTTTAACTTTTCGATTTTGGTATATTTCGGTTTCTTAATTTTTCGACTTGTCGACTTTTCGACTCCTCGATTTCTCGATCTTTTGATTTTTCGATTTCTCGATGTCTCGGTTTTTGAATTTTTCGATGTTTCAATTTGTCGGTTTTTCGAATTTTACTTTTCGACTTTTCGGTTTTTCTGTTTCGATTTTTATATTATTCGATTTTTCCATTTTCCAATTTTTTTCCATTTAAGAGTTTCGGTTTCTCGATTTGTTGATTTTTTAGTTTTTCGATTTTTATATTTTAGATTTTTCAATTTCTATTTTTTTTTTTTTTGATTTTTAGATTTCTCCATTTTACGAATTTTACGATATTTTAATTTTTCAATGTTTTCAATTTTAGATTTTTCAGTTTTTCGACTGTTTTATATTTCGATTTCTCTATTTTTCAACTTCTCGATATTGTAATTTTTCATTTTTAAAATTCTAGGACCCAATTTATAGAAAGCGATGTTAAAAAGTTAATTCGCGATTAACTTTTAACTGAGGTCCGTTGCCAGGCAACGCACATATTTCAACCAATCACGGGCTCATATTCCACATTTTAATTCTCTGTTAAACTAATCGAGGATTAAATATTTAACTCGCTGTTCTATAAACCGGCCCTAGATTTTTCTATTTCTCGAGTTCTCAGTTCTTCTATATCTTAATTTTTTTTATTTTCCCAATTTTTAAATTACGATTTTTCAATTTTTGAGATCTCGATTTATCAATTTTTCGATTTTTCGACTCCTCGATTTCTCGATCTTTTGATTTTTCGATTTCTCGATTTTTTGATTTTTCGATTTCTCGATGTCTCAGTTTTTGAATTTTTCGATGTTTCGATTTGTCGGTTTTTCGATTTTTACTTTTCGACTTTTCGGTTTTTCTATGTTTCGATTTTTATATAATTCGATTTTTTAATTTTCCAATTTTTTTTCATTTTCGAGTTTCGATTTCTCAGTTTGTTGATTTTTTAGTTTTTCGATTTTTATATTTTAGATTTTTCAATTTCTATTTTTTTTATTTTTTGATTTTTAGATTTCTCCATTTTTCAATTTTACGATATTTTAATTTTTCAATGTTTTAAATTTTAGATTTTTCAGTTTTTCCACTGTTTTATATTTCGATTTCTCAATTTTTCAACTTCTCGATATTGTAATTTTTCATTTTTAAAAGTCTAGATTTTTCTATTTCTCGAGTTCTCAGTTCTTTTATATTTTAATTTTTTTATTTTCCCAATTTTTAAATTACGATTTTTCAATTTTTGAGATCTCGATTTATCAATTTTTCGATTTTTCGACTCCTCGATTTCTCGATCTTTTGATTTTTCGATTTCTCGATGTCTCAGTTTTTGAATTTTTCCGACAAATCGAAACATCGAAAAATTCAAAAACTGAGACATCGAGAAATCGAAAAATCAAAAGATGGAGAAATCGAGGAGTCGACAAATCGAAAAATTGATAAATCGAGATCTCAAAAATTGAAAAATCGAATAATATAAAAACCGAAACATAGAAAAACCGAAAAGTCGAAAAGTAAAAATGGAAAAACCGACAAATCGAAACATCGAAAAGTTCAAAAACTGAGACATCGAGAAATCGAAAAATCAAAAGATCGAGAAATCGAGGAGTCGAAAAATCGAAAAATTGATAAATCGAGATCTCAAAAATTGAAAAATCGTAATTTAAAAATTGGGAAAATAAAAAAATTAAAATATAGAAGAACTGAGAACTCGAGAAATAGAAAAATCTAGAATTTTAAAAATGAAAAATTACAATATCGAGAAGTTGAAAATTGAGAAATCGAAATATAAAACAGTCGAAAAACTGAAAAATCTAAAATTTCAAACATTTTCTTTTCGACTTTTCGGTTTTTCTATGTTTCGATTTTAATATTATTCGATTTTTCAATTTTCCAATTTTTTTTTAATTTACGAGTTTCGATTTCTCGATTTGTTGATTTTTTAGTTTTTCGATTTTTAGATTTCTCCATTTTTCGGTTTTTCTATGTTTCGGTTTTTATATTATTCGAATTTTCAATTTTTTAGTTTTTAGATTTTTATATTTTAGATTTTTCAATTTCTATTTTTTGATTTTTAGATTTCTCCATTTTTCAATTTGACGATATTTTAATTTTTCAATGTTTGAAATTTTAGATTTTTCAGTTTTTCGACTGTTTTATATTTCGATTTCTCAATTTTTCAACTTCTCGATATTGTAAGTTTTCATTTTTAAAATTCTAGATTTTTCTATTTCTCGAGTTCTCAGTTCTTCTATATTTTATTTTTTTTATTTTCCCAATTTTTAAATTACGATTTTTCAATTTTCGAGATCTCGATTTACCAATTTTTCTATTTTTCGACTTGTCGACTTTTCGACTCCTCGATTTCTCCATCTTTGATTTTTCGATTTTTCTTTTCGACTTTTCGGTTTTTCTATGTTTCGATTTTAATATTATTCGATTTTTCAATTTTCCAATATTTTTTTTAATTTACGAGTTTCGATTTCTCAATTTGTTGATTTTTTAGTTCTCCGATTTTTAGATTTCTCCATTTTTCAATTTTACGATATTTTAATTTTTCAATGTTTTAAATTTTAGATTTTTCAGTTTTTCGACTGTTTTATATGTCGATTTCTCAAGTTCTCAGTCCTTCGATGTTTTAATTTTTTTATTTTCCCAATTTTTAAATTTTCGATTTTTCAATTTTTGAGATCTCGATTTATCAATTTTTCCATTTTTAACTTTTCGATTTTTCGACTTGTCGACTTTTCGACTCCTCGATTTCTCCATCTTTTGATTTTTCGATTTCTCGATGTCTCAGTTTTTGAATTTTTCGATGTTTCGATTTGTCGGTTTTTCGATTTTTACGTTTCGACTTTTCGGTTTTTCTATGTTTCGATTTCTATATTAATCGATTTTTCAATTTTACAATTTTTTCTCATTTTCGAGTTTCGATTACTCGATTTGTTGATTTTTTAGTTTTTCGATTTTTATTTTTTAGATTTTTCAATTTTTATTTTTTTTTTATTTTTTGGTTTTTAGATTTCTCCATTTTTCAATTTTACAATATTTTAACTTTTCAATGTTTTAAATTTTTCAGTTTTTCGACTGTTTTATATTGCGATTTCTCAATTTTTCAACTTCTCGATATTGTAATTTTTCATTTTTAACTTTTCGATTTTTCGATTTTGGTCTATTTTGGTTTCTCAATTTTTCGATTTTTGGACTTCTCGATTTCTCAATCTTTTGATTTTTCGATTTCTCGAGGTCTCAGTTTTTTTATTTTTTCGATGTTTCGATTTGTCGGTTTTTTGATTTTTACTTTTCGACTTTTCGGGTTTTTCTATGTTTCGTGTTTTGATTTCTCGATTTGTTGATTTTTTAGTTTTTCGATTTTTATTTTTTAGATTTTTCAATTTTTATTTTTTTTAATTTTTTGGTTTTTAGATTTCACCGTTTTTCAATTTTACAATATTTTAATTTTTCAATGTTTTAAATTTTAGATTTTTGGATTTTTCAGTTCTTCAATATTTTTTAGTTTTTCAAATTTTGACGTTTCAGAATTTTCAGATTTCCGATTTCTCAATTAATCTACTTTTTGATTTCCCAAAGTTTCGATCTTTCAGTTCTTCAATTTTTCGATTTTTCAGATTTTTGATTTTTCAATTTTTCGATTTTTTAGATTTGCGATTTTTCGTCTGCTTTTTGATCTCTTGATTTCTCAATTTTTCAATTCTTTAACTTCCTAATTTTTGAGGATTTTGTTCAATTTTGTGATTTTTCAGTATTTCGACTGTTAGTACTTCGACTTTTCGATTTTTCAATTTTTCGACTGTTTTATACTTCGATTTCTTAATTTTTCAACTTTTCGATTTTCTAACTTTTCAGTTTTTAAAATTTTAGGTTTTTCGATTTTTCAGTTCTTCATTATTTTGAATTTTTCAAATTTTGACGTTTCAGAATTTTCAGATTTCCGATTTCTCAATTAATCTACTTTTTGATTTCCCAAAGTTTCGATCTTTCAATTCTTCAGTTCCTCAATTTTTCAATTTTTCAGATTTTTGATTTTTCAAAATTCCGATTTTTCGACTTTGCTTTTTGATGTCTTGATTTCTCAATTTTTCAATTCTTTAACTTCCTAATTTTTGAATATTTTGTTCAATTTTGTGATTTTTCAGTTTTTCGACTCTTAGTATTTCGACTTTTCGATTTTTCTATTCTGGATATTTCGATTTCTCGAATTTTTACTGTTTGGATTTCCAATTTTTCGTTTTTTAAACTTTCGATTTTTCAGTTTTTCGACTGTTTTATACTTCAATTTCTTAATTTTTCAACTTTTCCATTATCTAACTTTTCAGTTTTTAAAATTTTAGGTTTTTCGATTTTTTAGTTCTTCAATATTTTTTAATTTTTCAAATTTTGACGTTTCAGAATTCTCAGATTTCCAATTTCTCAATTAATCTACTTTTTGATTTCCCAAAGTTTCGGTCTTTCAGTTCTTCAGTTCCTCAATTTTTCGATTTTTCAGATTTTTGATTTTTCAATTTTTCGATTTTTTAGATTTGCGATTTTTCAACTTTGCTTTTTGATCTTTTGGGTTCCCAAATTTTCAATTCTTTAACTTCCTAATTTTTGAATAATTTGTTCAATTTTGTGATTTTTCAGTTTTTCGACTCTTAGTATTTCGACTTTACGATTTTCAAAATTCTGGATATTTCGATTTCTCGACTTTTTACTGTTTGGATTTATTAATTTTTCAACTTTTCGATTTTCTAACTTTTCAGTTTTTAAAATTTTAGGTTTTTCGACTTTTCAGTTCTTCAATATTTTTTAATTTTTCAAATTTTGACGTTTCAGAATTTTCAGATTCAATTATTCAATTTCTCGGTTTTTAAATTTAATTTTTTTTTTATTTCTTCATGTTTAGACTTCTCGATTTTACAATTTTTCGATATTTCAATTTTTCAAGTTTTAATTTTGCCATCTTGGTTTTTCGATTTTTAAAATTTTTCGACTTTTCGATTTATAGATTTTCCGATTTTTCAAGTTTTCGATTTCTCAATTTTTTCAACATTATCAGTTTTGGGAACTTTTCAATTTCTTTTTTCAATTCTGAACGCTTAGAGTCGACATTGGCCTGAGCGCGCTCCGGTCTGTGGGTCAAACATGTTTCCAGGCGACGACTTATCAAAAATTGTTATCGCTAATTCCAGAACACTTTTACCTGAACTTTTTTTAATCTTTAGCACCCATACTTCGAGACCAATTGCCGATTTTATTTTGTACGTACCTATCAATGCATTGAAAATATGCAACCAATATTACACCAATCTACTTGATTAAAAATAAGAAGTCACTTGTTTGAATTAATGGAAGAAAAAATCTGAATTATTTTTTTTTTTTTTGCAGATCACGACTGACAAAATGTTGAAGTGCTGCAAAGAACAATGTCCATACTTACTCCACGACGAGCAAACCGTGCAAGAAATAAAAAAGGCGTGCAAGAACAAAAAACAAATCCCCCTAGATTTTATAACAACATGTATTAAACAACAAGCAGGAGTCGATATAATGAACAGAGTCAGGTAATTATTGATTATCTTGGAACCACTGTTGTAACCACAAACATATCCTATTCACGTTGTCTTCCAATTCCGTGGGGGCAACACTACTCAGTTCGTGCACAATATCGACATTATAAGACGCCCGCGCCTCCTCCAAAATAGTTTGAAATATTTCGCAATCTATGTTGTCTTCTAACTTCTTCCCGGTGTATCCTCGAGCCAAGAGTCTGTCATACAACGTCGTATTATCCGTTCGCAATACAAAAACCACATCGAACCAGCGCTCCGGGAAAAACTCGCAGCTGTGATAATCCACAATGTTGCCCCCTTTGCACATCACTTCCTCCAACCCGTCCAACAACTTGTCTTCGTCGAGAATGGGGCACTGGTAAACTTCGTCATACTCTTCCAAACAGTTGTAGTCTTTGGCGATTTTGGATATTTCCAACCACTGTAAGCCGCTGGTTTCGCTGAGTTTTTGGCACAGGGTTGATTTGCCGACGCCGGGGGTGCCGGTGACGAGGATATTGGGGGCTTGCCGCTTTATTTGAGGCGCAGTGGCCATTGTCGAGGGAACATAACCTCAAAAACGGTGTGTGATTATTGTGATTCTGAGTCAGCCAATGAGGGTTGGTTGTGTGTCACGTGGTTTGACTGGTGATGATTTTGGCGCAAAATTTAAATTATTATTTTTTAAATAGGGAATTGAATCTGATGGTGGCGGCGCAGTTATCGGAACAGATCACCGACGAGGTGTACGAGGTTTTGATGAGGAGCTACAAAATTCTAGTGGGAGATGCAAGTGCCATTCGAATTGATTCGCCCCCAAGGCGGTCAAGGTTGAGCAGTTCGGGGAGCAGCAGACATGGGGCTAGCGATATCTCGATCACTGATAGTAGTCATCAGTCGGATCATTCTCCTTTGGTGAGTTTCGGCGTATTTTGTTCTAAAACGTTTTGAATAATTCCATTTTCATTCATGCAGATGTTGGAATATTTGAATTTAGTAAGTAATTGTCGTGTCATTGAGTAGAGTTGGTTTCATTTTTGTACCCAGCTTTTTATTTTATTGTTTATAGTTATTTTAACCACGTTATGTATATATAACTGCATAAATATAGCTGATTGTGTTTATTTTGTTTTTATGGAGTAGTGGCAGTTTGCACCTTATTTTAAAAATTGGTGGTTGTGCTATTTGGACTAATTTTTTATGCAATTGTAGGCGACTCCCCATCTTTCTATAAAAAGGAAAAGTTTGCATGGCAGAAAACTTCGGCCGAAGTCGGTTGTTGATAGTGTTGAGGGGCTTTCAGCGGACGATATTCCGAGTCTTTTGCCCTCAGGCAACCGACATTCTGAAGAAGACGATTCGGTTACGGAATTGCCAAGCGCAACTCATCAATTGCAACACTTAGTTAAAGGTATTTTTGCGTTTTTAATTATTTAAATATTAAATTATTTGTTTAAAAGTTTTGAGTCTAGACAGAAATCGAGAAGTAACTAAGTTTTCTTGGAAATTTCGCTTTTTTTTTTAATATTTAAAAAACAGCGATTTTTGTTTTCTGATCAACCTCTATGTATAAAGTAAAAACCAGTGGCGTACATCAGCTTGAATTTTTCATTATTTTTTTTGTTTTCGATTTTTAGTTTTTCGAGTTTTTAAGTTTAAATTTTTCGGTTTTTCAATTTTACAACTTTCGAATTTTTTTAGATTTTGAATATTTCGATTTGAATTTGTCAAGTTGTCAATTTTTCATTTCGGTTTTTTATTTTCTTTATTTCTATTTCTTCAAACATTTATTTTTTTAAAGTTTCGATTTTATAAAGTTTTCTTTTCCCAATTTTAATTTTGTCGATTTTTCGTTTCTTCAGTTTTTCGGTTTGCGACTTTTCGATTTAAAATTTCTCGAGTTTTCAATTTTTAATTTTTCATTTCTTCAAAATTTTCGATTTTACGATGTTCCGATTTTATAATTTTTTGTTTTTTCAAATTTCCGATTTGCGATTTTCCGTTTTGGTTTTTTAAGACATTTTTACAAATTTTTTGATTTTACGATGTTCCGATTTTATAATTTTTTATTTTTTCAAATTTCCGATTTGCAATTTTCCGTTTTGGTTTTTTAAGATATTTTTACAAATTTTTTGATTTTTCGTTTCATTAGTTTTTCGATTTTCCGACTCTTGGATCTATCAATTTTTCGATTTTTCAAGTCTTGAATTTTTCGGTTTTTCAATGTGAATATTTTCAATTTTCAGATTTTTAATTTTTTAGTTTTTCGATTCTTCGGTTTATCATTTCTTCAAATTTTCATTTTAAATATGTAGGTAAAAATGATAATAACAATAATAACAATAATAATAACAATTTTTTTCATTTTTTACTTTTTCAATTTTACGATTTTAGAAATTTTCCGTTTTTCAATTATTGGATTTTAAAACTTTTTCATTTATTCGACTTCTCAATTTTTAGATTTTTATTTTTTCAATTTCTCTATTCTTCAGTTTATCATTTCTTCAAATTATTGATTTGCAATTTTTCGTTTCCTCAGTTTTTCGATTTGCGACTTTTCAGTTTTTCAATTTTCTTGTTCTCAATTTTTAAATTTGCCAATTTTTCGATTTGCAATTTTCGAGTTGTAATTTTTAATTTCGGGTTTTTTATATTCTTTATTTTTACAATTTTTCGATTTTTCGATGTTCCGATTTTATAATTTTTTGTTTTTTCAATTTCAATTTTTTCGTTTCTATTTTCAATTTTTTAATTCTTCTTTTTTTTGTTTCTTGGATTTTACAATATGCAATTCTTCGAGTTTTTATTTTAAAATTTTTCAGTTTTTCGATTTGAATTTGTCAAGTTGTCAATTTTTCATTTCAGTTTTATATTATCTTTATTATTTCAAACATTGATTTTTTAATGGTTCGATTTTATATTTTTTTGTTTTTTGTCTTTCAGTTTTTCGATTTTTCAAGTCTTGAATTTTTCATCTTCATTTTAAATACATATGTAGTAATAAAACTAATAATTTTAAAAATTTTTTACTTTTTCAGTTGTACCATTTTGGAAATTTTCAATTTTTTTAATTGGATTTCAAAACTTTTTCATTTGTTCGACTTTTCAATTTTTGTATTTTTAATTCTTTCAATTTTTCGTTTCTTCAGTTTTTCGATTTGCAATTTTTCAATTTAAAATTTCTCGAGTTTTCAATTTTTAAGTTTTCGATTCTTTAATTTTTTATTTCTTCAAATTTTTGATTTGCAATTTTCCATTTCGGTTTTTCATTTTCTTTATTTTTATAATTTTTCGATTTTATAATTTATTTGGTCAATTTCAATTTTTTCGATTCTTCGTTTCTTTAATTTTTCGATTTGCAATTTTTGGAGTTTTCATAATTTTTTTTTGTTTTTGGATTTTCCAAACTTTGGATATTTCAATTTTTTGATTTTTCGAGTCTTGAATTTTTCATTTTTTTTTTTTGTTTATTCAGTCTTTCGATTTCGAGTTTTTAAGTTAAAATTTTTCAATTTTCCATCTTCCGAGCTTTTCAAATTTTTAGATTTTGCAATATTTGGATTTGAGTTTGTCAAGTTTTCAATTTTTCGTTTCTTCAGTTTTTCATTTTTTTTGTCTCCTCAATTTTTACCTTTTGAAATTTTCCGTTCCGGTTTATTTTTTTTTATTTTTTCAATTTTTCTATTTGCAATTTTTCAATTTTTGGGTTTTTCAACTTTCAGATTTTTCAATTTTTCGCTTCACCAGTTTATCATTTCTTCAAATTTTCATTTTAAATACATATGTACTAATTAAAAAATAACAATTTTTAAAATTTCTTACTTTTCCAATTTTACGATTTTGGAAATTTTCCATTTTTTATTGGATTTCAAAACTTTTTCGTTTATTCGACTTTTCAATTTTTGGGTTTTTAATTTTTTAATTTTTTCATTTCTTAAAATTTTTTATTTGCAATTTTTCGTTTCGATCTTTTATTTCCTTTATTTTTACAATTTTTCGTTTCTTCAGTTTTTCGATTTGCGACTTTTTAGTTTTTAATTTTTCTTGTCCTCAATTTGTAGATTTTGCAATTTTTCAATTTAAAATTTCTCGAATTTTCAATTTTTAATTTTGCATTTCTTCAAATTTTCGATTTTTCAATGTTCCGATTTTATAATATTTTGTTTTTTCAATTTCAATTTATCAAGTTGTCCATTTTTCATTTCGGTTTTTTATTTTCTTTATTTATTCAAACATTGATTTTTTAATGTGTCGATTTTATATTTTTTCGTTTTTTGTCTTTCAGTTTTTCGATTTTTCAAGTCTTGAATTTTTCATCTTCATTTTAAATACATATGTAGTAATAAAAATAATAATTTTAAACATTTTTTACTTTTTCAATTGTACCATTTTGGAAATTTTCAATTTTTTTAATTGGATTTCAAAACTTTTTCATTTGTTCGACTTTTCAATTTTTGGATTTTTAATTTTTTCAATTTTTCGTTTCTTCAGTTTTTCGGTTTGCAATTTTTCAATTTAAAATTTCTCGAGTTCTCAATTTTTAATTTTTCGATTCTTTAATTTTTTATTTCTTTAAATTTTTGATTTGCAATTTTCCGTTTCGGTTTTTTATTTTTTTTATTCTTACAATTTTTCCATTTTTCAATGTTTCGATTTAGTAATTTGTTGTTTGGTCAATTTCAATTTTTTCGATTCTTCGTTTCTTTAATTTTTCGATTTGCAATTTTGTAATTTTTCTTCTTTTTTTTTGTTTCTTCAATTTTACAATATGCAATTTTTGGAGTTTTCATTTTAAAATTTTTTAGTTTTTGGATTTTCCAAACTTTGGATCTTTCAATTTTTTGATATTTCGAGTCTTGAATTTTTTATTTTTTTTTAGTTTATTCAGTCTTTCGATTTCGAGTTTTTAAATTAAAATTTTTCAATTTTCCATCTTTCGAGCTTTTCAAATTTTTAGATTTTGCAATATTTGGATTTGAGTCTGTAAAGTTTTCAATTTTTCGTTTCTTCAGTTTTTCATTTTTTTTGTCTCCTCAATTTTTACCTTTTGAAAATTTCCGTTCCGGTTTATTTTTTTTATTTTTTCAATGTTTGGATTTTTCAGTGTTCCGATTTTATAATTTTTTGTTTTCAATTTCTATTTTTTTGATTCTTCGTTTCTTTAATTTTTCTATTGTCAATTTTTTAATTTACTTTTTTTTCTTCGATTTTACAATATGCAATTTTTCGAGTTTTCATTTTTCAAATTTTTCAGTTTTTCGGTTTTCCTACTCTTGGATCTTTCAATTTTTCGATTTTTCAAGTCTTGAATTTTTCGGTTCACCAGTTTATCATTTCTTCAAATTTTCATTTTAAGTACATATGTGCTAATTAAAATAATAACAATTTTTAAAATTTCTTACTTTTCCAGTTTTACGATTTTGGAAATTTTCCATTTTTTATTGGATTTCAAAACTTTTTCATTTATTCGACTTTTCAATTTTTGGGTTTTTAATTTTTCCATTTTTCAGTTTTTCATTTCTTCAAATTTTTGATTTGCAATTTTTCGTTTCGATCTTTTATTTTCTTTATTTTTACAATTTTTCGTTTCTTCAGTTTTTCGATTTGCGACTTTTTAGTTTTTCATTTTTCTTGTGCTCAGTTTTTAGATTTTGCAATTTTTCAATTTAAAATTTCTCCAGTTTTCAATTTTTAATTTTTCATTTCTTCAATTTTTCGATTTTATAATTTGTTGTTTAGTCAATTTCAATTTATTCAATTCTTCGTGTCTTTAATTTTTCGATTTGCAAGTTTTTGATTTTTCTTTTGTTTTTTTTTTGTTTGTTGAATTTTACGATATGCAATTCTTCGAGTTTTCATTTTTAAATTTTTCAGTTTTTCGATTTTCCAACTTTTCGATCTTTCAATTTTTGGGTTTTTCAAGTCTTGAATTTTTCTTTTTTTTTTTGTTTATTCAGTTTTTAAGTTAAAATTTTTCAGGTTTTTAATTTTCCATCTTTCGAGTTTTCCAAATTTTTAGATTTTACAATATTTCGATTTGAGTTTGTCAAGTTTTTAATTCTTCGTTTCGGTTTTTTATTTTTTTTTTATTTTTTCAGTTATTCGATTTTTCAATTTTTCGATTTTATAATTTTTTTTTCCAATTTTAATTTTTTCAATTTCTTGTTTCGTCAGGTTTCACAGTGTTCCGATTTTATAATTTTTTGTTTTTTCAATTCTAAGTTTCTTTAATTTTTCGATTTGCAATTTTTCAATTTTTTATTTTTTTTTGTATCTTCTGTTTTACGATATGCAACTTTTCGAGTTTTCATTTTTAAATTTTCCAATTTTTCGATTTTCCAACTTTTGGATGTTTGAATTTTTAGATTTTTAAGGTCTTCAATTCTTCGATTTGCAATTTTTCATTTCGGTTTTTTATTTTCAATCTTTCCAGTTTTTCTATTTGCAATTTTCCGGTCTTCAGTTTATTGATTTTTAATTTTTCGATTTAAATATGTCATAATAGTAATAACAATTTTTAAACTTTTTCACTTTTTCAATTTTACGGTTTTAGAAAATTTCCATTTTTCAATTATTGGAGTTTCTTTTTCATTTGTTCAAGTTATTGAATTGTAATTTTTCAATTTTTCTATTTTTAATTTTTGAATATGTATTTCGATTCTTCAAGTTTTCGTTTCTTCAAATTTTCGACTTGCAGTTTTTGGTTTCCGATTTTATAATTTTTAATTTTTTGTTTTCTCATTTTCAGTTTTTCGTTTATTCAATTTTACAACATGCAACTCATTTTGCAGTTTTTGTTTCGGTTTTTGATTTTCTTTTATTTTCTCAATTTTTTTGTTTTTCAGTGTTCTGATTTTATATGTATTTTTTATTTAAAGTTTTTCAATTTTTGAGTTTTTCAGTTTTTCGCTTTCCAGTTTTTCGTTGTTTCAGCTTTTAGATTTTTCAGTTTCTCGATTTTTCATTTCTTCAATTTTTGATTTGCAATGTTTCCAAATAGTTTTCATTTTAAATATTTATTACTAATAATTATAATTAAAAAAAAACATTTATTAGTTAAAATCTTCATTTATTCGATTTTTCAATTTTTAATCTTTCGATTTTTAATTTTCAATTTCTCGTTATTTAATTTTTCAATGTTACAGTTTTTCGATTTTACAATTTTGACGACTCCAAATTTTTGGGTTTTCCCATTTTTCGATTCTACTCGTTTTTTCTTTTTTCCAATTTTTGGAATCATTAATTTTTTTCGATTTTTAGTTTTTCGATGTTTCAATTGTCCCTTTCTTCAGTTCTTCGATTTTCCAAATCTTCGTTTTTTCAGATTTCCGATTTTTAATTTTTCAGTTTTTCATCTTTTCAGATAAAAAAAAATGGAAAAATTGCGGAATTGTAAAAATTGAGAATCGAGGAATTGAAAAATCGAAAGAAACTTTGAAAAAATAAAGGAAATAAAAAACGAAAATGTGACATAAAATCGACAAAATGAAAAATAAAAGTCAAGAACTGGAAAAATTGAAAAATCAAAATATTAAAAATTGATAAACTGAAAAATCGAAAAATTGAAGAAACGAAAAACTAAAAAATTTGGAGGTCGAGAATTGAAAAAATTAAAGCTGAAAAAACAAAAAAATTATGAAACTGAAACATTGAAAATTGGAAAAATGAAAGAAAATGAAAAATCGAAAAATTATGCTATGAAAAATATATAAGTTAACATAATGATATTGTATGTAATGTTTGTTTCAAGTGAATTTTTCCATTACAAATTTTGTGAAATTTTGACATGACGTAATCAATTTTTTAGGAGGGGATAAACCAATAAATTTTGGTTAAACATTTACGATTACAACCTTAAAATGTTTGCAAGATTTCGGTTTTGTAGATTCAAAGTTAAATTGTTATACAAGTTTGATTTTTTTTTCCAAAAATCTGAATGTCATAAGGTGAAAACTCAACACGGATTCATACATCACAAGTGCAGGACTATCTTATTTTATAAAATTTAAACAAAGAAGTAAAAACAGACAAATACAACAAAATTAAAGTCACTAATAAACATCGAAAAGAACGGTGGTCCACAGCAGAACCCTTGATCGACACCTTTAATATTTTTCATTAATTGAAGCACTCTTATTCAGGTCGCCCCCGGCGCGCGAAAACCCGGGCCCCCACGCGCCCTCTAGTCAAGCACCCCGACGTCAGCGACGCCGTTTCGCAAGACCTGGTCGAAGGTCTCGACACTTTCTTCCGTCCAGGTTCCGTAACACCGACGTCGGACGACTGCAACTCGTTCCAAGCCGACGGTAGTCCCAACCACGACTACGCCTCGCCCGTTCTGAGCGACGACCGCAAAACACCGAAACTGAGCAGAAACTCGCCCCTGTTGCGCGGCCTCATGGCCACCCCCACGCCGAGGTCCAGGTCCACCGACAACCTGGAGAAGTTCTCCCCGTCTTTCGGACGAAGGGGGGCCAACGAGTGTGCGTCGCCCCTGTCCAGACGCTTCACGGGCGACAGCTTGACATCGCACGAGAGCAGCGACGGCAGCATCTCCGGGGAGGTCACCCTGACGACGGAAAACTCGTCTTCTGCGGAAACAGGTGAGCGAACTAGGTGTATTGTTGGTTGCATAACGGATTCGTTTCCAGTTGATCACTCTGATTCTTTGAAACATCCGAAGACCAAGTCTGGACCCATCGTAGCACCTAAGCCTAGGCCGTGGTCTATGGTGAATTCGGAGGCCAAAACTGTCGATCTGAGTTTACTAAGTGACGGCTCTTCTCCTATTAACTCAACAGGTAATACGCCTGATTCCGCTGACACCTTAGACAGTTCAGAGTCTTCTATAGAGAAAAGGCTCACCAAGGAAGTAAAGCTGAAACGAGGTGGTGAGTTTTGCCCATTTTTGTCGATTACCTTGTACTCTTTGTCTATTTTATGTTCGCCTGCATCTCCTTGCTTATTCTTTTTCGTTCGGAAGGTATTTTGCAGAATTATTTGCCTGAACGTGGTGACCTCAAGTTTTTGCAACGTTACAAGGTACATTTTCCGTTTTGTCTTTGTGGACTTAGGAATGTGGGGGCTATTTTTAACGCGACTGTTTTCAGGTGACGTCTGATAAACCCAGTCAATCGTCGAACGAAGTAAGGAGAAGAGATAGTAACTATAATTGTAGTGAAACTAAAGATGCACACATAAGTAGATGATTTTATGATTATATTTTTAGCCTAACAAATTCCTAGAGTTCTTCTAGAAAGGGTGGCAGTGCCCTATTCTTCCCACTTTGAAATCTTTAAATTTATTGTACGTATCTTGCTTCAACGTAGGCGAATATTTTTATGAATCAGATAAAGTAAGCATTTGACTGCAAATAATAATAGACAAGATTGGTTTAAAATCGTTTCAAATTGCCATTTGAGCTTCCTGATTAATAATGAACAAACAAGGTTTAATAAGTTGTGATTAATTTTCGAGCAAGTATTATTTATATAATTAAAATTATTTTTTTAGTAGTATACACATCACGGTCAGTAATTGTATTACCGCCATTTTTTATTACAACTGTAGATCTCATTACGTATTTTTTATTGTACGCTCATTCCAAGATACTTATTTAAAGTGCATACGTATTCCATTTTATTTGTATATAAAGATAACAGTAAATTTCTCAGCTTCTACAAAGTGCAGTCACGTATTTGTATTTTGTTATGTTGTGTTTTAAATGTGTTATGTATTTTTTTATATATATACTTGTAACATGAAATTTGCTTCCATTCTTGTATTTGTCGTTTTTATACTGTCAATAAAAAGTTTATTATTTAAAAGATGTGGACCACATTTGGAAAACAATTTATTCACTCACAAACAAATAGTTTAGATGATCTTGGTTATAAAAAGGAAATTGTAGATCTCATGATTGTAGACCATCATGATACAAACCTGAGTATATTATAATCCAAGTAACCTATAAAAGATTAAGTAGTGTTAAGAGAGTGACAGTTTGAGCAAATTTCGTTTTAATTATAAACCACTTGGAGACTTACCAAAAACCCGGCAAACGAGGTCATAAAACCCTCCTTTGTTAACTCCCAAGCCCCTCCATATTCCTCTTCGTCCACACATTGAAAACTACTAAAGTAGAAGTATATAACAGCAGCATTAACGATTACAAATCTACAACAAACTGTCTATAGTGACAATGTTTACCACTTGTACAACCGTACAGTAATAAACCTAGGAATCCTTTTAGTGGAATTAAACCCCAAAATACACCAAGAATAAGCCCTATCGCTTGTCGCGCCCAATATATTACATCTAAGAATTCGTCCTACAAAATCACCGTCATTACACGACTCCAACAACGTAACAACCATACCTTGTCTGGCCACTCCGAATTGGCAGTTATTGCTCTTGTGAACACAGACTTTAGCTCGGAAGGTTTCAGTGTTCCATTCTTTTCCACCGTTTTCGTTTTCGTACTCATTCTGACTTGGCACTTTATCTACAACACACGTAGCATACACATTACAATTAATTTTTGGTCGTAATCAGTGCAAATATGACTATTTACGGAGAAAAGTACACAACCCCATTCGTGTGACAACTTGTCACTTGCAAAATGTGGGTTTGTCACGATTTTCGCTGTTGGCGCCACTGCTTGTCACCCTCACTCTGGTTCTTTTTCATTTTGCACTGTCACTCCGGAAACAACTGTCACCCGAACATCAACGAACGCCTCGCGACGAAAGTCGAACTTTCAACCGGAATAAAACCTTCAAAGCGAGAAAAACACACAGAATTAAAAAATAGGGGTTTATTTTTAGGCAAAACAGTCCCATCAACGCAAATGCCGCTGCAAATGCAGACGATAGTAGCCTTGGTAATTACTTTTTAACACATTTCGATTTGTTGTCATTTGTCTAAAATATCGTTTTTAGAACGCTGTAGAGCCCATGCAAGTCGACGCTCCCCCCGAAGACAACGACAACAATGAAGAAGAAAGCTACATTGTGGAAAACCCCTCCCTAGATCTCGAAGTGTACGCCAACAGCTACTCGGGTTTAGCCAAACTGTCTCGATTGAACTTCATCATAGACCATTGCCCCTCTTTGCGACTAGAAGCCCTGAAAATGGCAATTTCGTACGTGATGACCACCTACAACGTAAACTTGTATCAAGTCTTGCACCAGAAACTAGCTGAAGTTACCACCGCCATGAGCGTCCCTGATGTGGCAGCCCCGTCGACTTCTCAGGATATCCCCGTCATAGATAACCTCTGGATGGAGACCCGATCGAAAAAGGCCGCCCTTAAGTTAGAAAAACTCGACAACGATCTCAAAAACTACAAGTCTAACTCGATCAAAGAGAGTATTCGGAGGGGGCACGACGACCTAGGCGACCACTATCTAGATTGCGGCGATTTATCAAACGCCCTCAAATGTTACTCACGGGCTAGAGATTACTGCACTAGTGGCAAACACGTGGTCAATATGTGTCTAAATGTGATCAAAGTTTCAGTTTATTTACAAAATTGGTCCCACGTTTTGAGTTACGTATCGAAAGCGGAAAGCACACCGGATTTCACCGAAGCTCAAGCTAAAGACTCCAATCAAGTAATCGTTACTAAGTTGAAGTGTGCGGCAGGTTTGGCCGAACTGGCTACGAAAAAGTATAAATCGGCGGCTAAACACTTCCTTCAGGCGAATTTAGACCACTGTGATTTCCCAGAGTTGCTCTCGGCTAATAATGTCGCGATGTATGGGGGACTGTGCGCTTTGGCGACGTTCGACAGGCACGAGTTGCAGAAAAATGTTATTTTTAGCAGTTCTTTTAAATTGTTCCTCGAGTTGGAACCTCAACTGCGCGACATTATTTTCAAGTTCTACGAATCGAAGTACGCTTCTTGCTTGAAGTTGCTGGACGAAATTAAGGATAATTTATTGTTAGATATGTATATAGCGCCACATATTAACACTTTGTACACACAGATACGGAATAGGGCGCTTATTCAGTACTTTAGCCCTTATTTATCGGCGGATATGCACAAGATGGCGATTGCGTTCAACAGGACAGTGCCGGCTTTAGAAGATGAACTGATGCAGTTGATTTTGGATGGGCAAATCCAGGCCAGGATTGATTCACACAATAAAATTTTATTTGCAAAGGATGTTGATCAGAGGAGTACCACTTTCGAGAGGAGTTTGTTGATGGGGAAGGAGTACCAAAGGAGAACGAGGATGCTGATTTTGCGGGCGGCGGTTTTAAAAAGCAAAATACACGTTAAGGTACATTTATTAATAAAGTTGTCGGATATGGTACTATTTTGTCATTTCAGAGTCCGCAACGAGATACATCAGGACAAGCTGGAGAAGTGACCGTAGCCCCTGGGACTAGTAGCGTTTTGTCTGCACGAAATTAATTATTGATCATAATGTGGTACTTTTATTGTAACATTATAATATCGTATTCTGTGTTAAATTAAAAATATGAAAACATTTAAATATTTTAATTTATATCGGCATGATTATTTGATATAATAAAATCAAATTTTATGGAAAAACCAAGACTAATAAAAAAAATTAATTGAGGAATTTAAAATTGACCTCCCGGGAATTGTTTAATACGTAGATGACGCAACATTTAGGGATTTTAATTTCAATTGTCACTTGCTGGGGACTTTCATTATTACGTAATGTCAATTTGACATTTGTGACGGGTCGGGTTGCGGGTTATTACATTTCCACAGACTAGAATTTCTTCAAAATAAAAATCCTGACAAGCGGCTTTAAATTCCGCCTTTTCACGCAATAATGGCCACCAACATCTCAAAAGTTCCACTCCTGCGAGCCATCGCGGTAAGTCCCTAAATAACCCCAACAGACCTGTTATATAAACACCGCACCACATCAAACCAATTTTAAATAATTCGCAGGCTCGCGGCTTCGCAACTTCACCAGCCCCCGTGAGCGGAACCACCACCTACGAAGTCAAAAATACCACCCTACCGAACCATGTAGTGGTGGCTTCAGCCGACAACGAAGCCTCCCTGTCACGAATTTCCATCGTCTTTAGGTTCACACTGCACAAATTTTACCCCACAGTTCTCACGCTGTAGTTATAGGGCTGGCTCCCGCAACGAAACCCCTGAAAACACCGGCGTCACTCACACACTACGCATCAGCGCCGGATTGTCCACCAAAAACGCGTCACAGTTTGCCATCATTCGCAACATTCAACAAGCGGGGGCAAACTTAACTTGCACGTCAGACCGCGAAATCGTCGCTTACACTCTAGAAGGAACACGACAAGCCGTGGAGAAAACTTTACCTTTCCTCACAGAAGTGGCAACTAGGCAGATTTTCAAACCGTGGGAAGTGTCAGACACCGTGCCCCGACAGCGGCTTGAGCTGGCAATTCGCCCTCCACAGGTTTGTATTAGCACCCATTTAACAACTTTTATGATGCAACTGTCAAAAGCGGCAGTGCCAACATTGTCATTGTAAATTTCATGGCCTACTAGTCAAAAAATAATACAATAATTAATACCTAATTTTCCTAACCTCAATTTATTTCTAGCTGAGGGCCGTCGACTTGCTGCACAAAGCCGCCTTCCGTCGCGGTCTCGGCAACTCCCTCTACAGCGCCAAGTACCACCTAGGCAACATCTCCTCCGAGACTTTGCAACACTACGTCGCTACGAACTTCACCGCGGGTCGCGCTGCAGTCGTCGGTTTGGGAGTGGACCACTCACAGTTAGTACAGTACGCCCAAAGTCTGTCTCTGGAGGGCGGCGAGGGCTCCACCCCCGCGTCTCCATACATCGGGGGCGAAATCCGATCCGACAAAGCCGGGGCGCTTGCGTTTATTGCCATCGCTGGTCAAGGCGCTGGCCTGAAAGACGCCAAACAGGCCCTCGCGTTCGCCGTTTTGCAAAGAGCGCTGGGTGTGGGGCCCCAGGTTAAATGGGGGGCTGTGGACAACGGCGCTTTGAGCAAAGCCGTGGGCAGCGCCATCAACGACCAGTTCGCCATAGGCGCAATAAACGCAAGCTACAGTGACACGGGGCTCTTTGGGGCGCTGATTGCCGCGCCTGCGGCTTCAGCCGGGAAGTTGGTACAAGCGGCCGTCAAGGTTCTAAAAGGGGGTAATTTGACAGATGCTGACGTTAATAGAGGGAAGAATCAGCTGAAGGCGGCGATTCTTTTGGATAATGAGAGCGGGTCGGAGGCGATCGGGCTCTTGGGGACGCAGGCGGCGCTTGTGGGGGCAGCCAAATCGCCGAGTCAGTTGGCAGCCGAAGTGGATTCGGTTAGTGCAGCGGATGTGAATGCGGTAAGTTGGTAGTCGTGATTTAGCGACATGAATGACATTTGTGTTTCAGGCTTTGAGGAAAGTAGGCGGGAAGCTGTCAATAGCGTCGTACGGCAATTTGGGCACCATACCCTACCTGGATGAACTAAAGTAAATGGTAGTTTATTAAAGTAACTTATTTTTTTTCTGTATACATTATTACGTGTAAAAAATATTTACTTCATTATACAAGTTGAAGATTTTTGGCATCACTTATTGTTAAAATAGAAATCACAATGTGTAAAACTGCCACCGGGGTTAAATCGCGGCGACCACAATTATACTTAAGAATAATAAAATGATGATTACCCAGTATATACAAGTTTTGTCCTTGGTTTCGACGACGGAGATATGTGTAGTTTCGGTTCTGACTCTGGAATCTGTTCGATCCACGTGGGTCCCTAAATCATCCAAGATTTCTAAAAATTGCAATTTTAATTATTAGAAAACGCGAGACGTATTGAAATCACCGTTGTGTAAATCCACTTCATCTGAAATCGTGTGTGCTATGTTTTTCTGACGCGAAATAATCTGCGCCAAACTTTCCAACCCTTGTTCTTGTTCCCCCAACATCCTCTTTTGATCGGCTCTCAAATCACTAACTGAGTAATTTGACACGTCAGGCTGCTCATCGCTGTGTGTAGGCCCCCATGTGGACATCCCACTCTGCCCCAAGAGTCTGTTGCGATCTTCCTGGACTTTGGTAGACACCTGCTCGTCGAACATTTTCTGCATTTGGATAGCTTTGGAATGTAAAATTTCTACTTGGCGTGTTCTCCTTTCGGCTTCAGCAGCAGTACTAAAATTTCTCATTAATTTAATGCGCTAGGTGATTTTAATCAAATACATGGAGTCATTTCTGGTGGTGACATCCAGCTTTTGTTTCAACTGTCCCACTTCATTGTTGTATTGCTTTAGCCGTAAACGAATGGTCGCTGATAAATGGGCGTACTTGTCAGTGTTTCGTGATAACCTTTGTCTTTGCATTAGTTGCTCCATTATGTCTCTATGGAGTTTCTCACATGACTCGTGTTCCAAGAGCCTGAAAATTATGTTTTCAAGTCAACAAATTTGTGCCTGTTCTGGTGTTTACCATGGATCATCTCCTAAATTGAGAAGCGCCATCGTTCAGGGTTTTCTACCAGCAGCTACTGGGTTTATTGAGTATTTATTTCAGGACGTACTATGCTATTCTCGCATTTTTGTTAGCACAGGATCTGAGTAAAATTAATAAATTACACTGGGACTGGGATGGAATAAATGTAACTATTTGGTGATATTTTGTCGATATAGTTGGCTGCATTTTGGTTTTTTGACATTTCTCGTGTATTGTTGGTTGCATAACCTACAAAAGTTATTATTAGAGAATTTTTTACTTATTCTCGTTTCTCACTTATTTAACACCTCAGGGACACTCATTCACTAAAGCACACCATCTTCACACCTGCATTTATTAGATAATTTACGTACAATAACTGAACTACTACAAAAACATTTAAAAATAAAAACAATAGTTACAGTCACTGGCAAAAAAACGATCCTTACAATAATAAAAAATGCACAAAATTAAGTAAATTTTCAGTTACTACTGAGGTAATTCCTTATGGCATCGGTATCTCTCTGTAACCACGCTGCATTTAACCGGATCGTCTCTACAGCTTGCTGCACAGTCCTCTCCGTCCCAGAAATATCGTGCGCTTTAAAGAACTGCTCCACCTCCTTGGCGGACTCTTCGCTGGCGAAATTCTCCGCGACGAACTTCACCAACCTCGTCAGGAGATACCCTTTGTACCTATCGTTGAACAGCGCCCAGTTATCCACGAAGAACCGCCACGCCAGGTCCCTGCCGACCCTCGACATCGCCACGGAGATGATCACGAACACGGTATCCTGCGCCCTCACTTCGTCCTGAAACACAGCCCGTCATCGACGCATCTACCTCCCGTTGGTACTCACAGAAATGGCGAATTTGAGAACTTTGGACAAGATTTCCGAGTCTTTGGCGGCCCCTAGCGCCCTGCTGATCCTGTCTTTCTCTTCATGCAAGTCCACTGATCTGTATAGTTTCAGTAAAGTGTTGTAGACGTCTTCGCCTCCCGCCCTAAGTACAGTTTTGTAACAGGCACTTCGTAAGTCGGCCGGTAAAGTTTGACTAGAATTGACGTGAGCGTCGAACCGTTTCTGCGCCTCGCCGATTGTGTCGTCGTCATCGAGCCACGAGAGCCTGCCGAGGACCAAACCGCGAAGGAGAGTGTCCAGGTGGCGCTCGGTCGGATCTGGGTTCCAACCTAAACGTTTCGACACCTTGCTCAGTATCCGTTTCTGGTACTACGCATACAAAGAAAACGGCAATCACTATTGGCTATTCTAGCTACTGCGAAATGGGTAAAGTGCGATTCTTCACACTGCAGTCTACTTAATTTAACATTAAAAAAAAACTCTAGTAGGCCATGAAACCTATTTAACACGTTACTTGACAGTTGGCTGACCAATCAGCGCACAGTATGAAGAAACGTCAAAAAATTCTAAACATGCACATACGTACCGTTCTGAACTCGTCCACGCAATCCGTATAACTCAACAACATATTCAGTTTGACCAAAACGTTATTAATGGATGACCAAACCGTGTAATCCGCTTCATCTTCATACGCCTCTAACAATTTCAAAACTTCCACCGTGTTCGTGTGACCGGCTTGGACCATCGCAAACAAATCATCCAAGAGCCCTAACCTGTCCAGAGGGGGCAAACTCCTGTCTTTTATAGCCGGGATAAACCTCTCCAGCAACTTGGGTTCGTACTGGGTACGATAAAACCCGACGGTACCTGGGTTGACCTTAACCCAGTCACCCGGACCCACGTCCGGAATAACAACTTCCGCTTCTTTCGTTTTAAGTACAGTGCTGACAGTTTTGCGCTTCGACGTCGTTATGGAGACGGGGATCATCCAGAGGAAGTCTTCCGGAGGCTTGGATCCGTCAGCCGTATATTTGCTTTGAGATAAAGTAAGTACTACGCCTTTGTTGTCGGGATCGGGCCGACTGGTCACTTTAATGACCGGAAAACCCATCTGTTTGGTCCATGTGGACATGACCGCGCCCACTGGTTTCTTGGAGGCTTCTTCCAGAGCGGCCCACAGGTCCTCGGTGAAGGTGTTTTTGTACTGGTGACGGGTTAAGTACAGGTTCATGCCTTTGCGGAAGTCTTCGTCGCCGATGTAGTTGTGGAGCATCCGAATCACGGAGGCGCCTTTGTTGTAGCTGATGTCGTCGAAGATCTCGTCGATTTCCGATGGGTGCCCGACTGGGACTTCAATCGGGTGGGAGTTCTTCAAGCAGTCGAGTTCCAGGGCGCGGATGTAGGTGTCGTTGACGAACTGGGTCCAGATATCATACTCCGGGAAGAGGTGGTCCACGCAGAGGTACTCCACGAACGACGCGTATCTGTTGGAACATTTATTACGGTTTTAATAACTTCAGACAGCTACTCGTACCCTTCGTTCAGCCACAAGTGGGTCCACCACTCCATTGTCACCAGGTTCCCGAACCACTGATGCGCCAGCTCGTGGCCCACCACCAGCGCGATCCACTGCTTCTGCACCGCCGACGTGTTCTGCGTGTCCACCAGCAGACAGGTCTCCCTATAAGTAACAAGGCCCCAGTTTTCCATAGCCCCGGCGCTGAAGTCGGCGATCGCTATCAAATCGATCTTCGGCAGCGGGTACGCTATGTCGAAGTAGTCTTTGTAGTAAGGTAGCACTTTGGTGGCGACCTCGAGCGCGAACAGCCCCTGCTCCTTCTTGCCCCTCGGCGTGTACACCCTCACCTGCACCCCGTCGGCCGACTTGTCCTCCACGTAGTCGTACTCGCCCACCACGCACGCCACCAGGTACGTCGACATGATGGGGGTGGTCTCGAAGTCGTAGCGGATCAGGCCGGAGGTCTCCTTCGAGTGCTTGACGGGCATGTTGCTGAGGGCCACCAGGTCGCGGGGCACCGACAGGCTGATGTCGAAGGTGGCCTTGAGGGAGGGCTCGTCCCAGCAGGGGAAGCAGCGGCGCGCGTCCGTCGCCTCGAACTGGGTGACGGCGGCGTAGCGCTCCTCGCCCTGCTGGTTCTGGTACTTGCTGCGGTAGAGGCCCTTCATTTTGTCGTTCAGCTCGCCCTTGAAGGTCATGCTGAGGGAGTAGGGGCCGGGCGCGATGGGTTTGGCGAAGGTGAAGGTGACGGTCTCGTCGTCGACGGAGAAGGATGTGGTTTTCGGGGATTCGAGGACATTGTTGCCTTTTAAGGTTACGTTCTGGATTTCTAAGTCTATGGCGTTAAGTACGATTTCGCTTGTTTGCTTCACAACCTGAAATCAAAATGGCAACTTTTAGTTTGAGGAAAATATTTTATATCAAACAATAAGTCCATCATTCTCCTATACCCCCTTTACCGAACAGATGGAGTTGTACAAGTGGATTTGTTGGCCATATACAGTTTCCGACATCTAACAGATGTACCAATAAAAATTAATAACGCGATTTCCCTTTGCAGAGGCCGCCAACAACAAAAAAAAAACATTCACCGGATATCTGTTTATATAACATGTGTATTTCCATACAGGCTGCGTTCACTCACAACAGCTCGCTGCACGCAATGCTTTTTTGTATAATTTGAAGGGGATATGTGAGTTTTTTTGATAAAGTTTTCAGTGTATTGAATACTCGTGATTATTTACTCCTCCAGACAATATTATAAGACTTTATTTTAAATTATATCTCGGTATTAAATAAAACTGTATTTATTTAACTACGAGTTTTATCACACTGTTTAACTACTCAACATTTTTTAAGTCGATTTGATTATGCAGCGCTCAAGTCAAGGCGTCTACATAATGTAATTCAGAAAATGTTTCCTAAAGACTGTAGGAGAAACTATGACCCTAAAAGAATTTTTATAAGTACTGAATTTGCTATTTAATCATCAATACAAGATAACATTTTTCTTACATAACACTGTTATATACACTGTTCGCATCGGTTTTATTTGCCGATAACATTTATTACTAGTATTGCTCGATAAAAAAGCAATTACTATTTTATTTCTTGAAATTGAATGTTTAAATGTACATATGTGGACATGCCATACGCTGTTTGACCTTGTAATAAACAGACTACAGTGAAAAAATTCATAGGTATTTTGTTATTATGCACTCGTAAAAAAAATTCAGTGCCTTTTTTAACATTCAACACGACTTTTGTTAAGCGTTCGAGATTCAAGAGTTGCTATGTATGTAGGTACAGTTCAAATTTTTTATTTATGCACACGTGACCAGAACTCAACGTATGAAGCAAGAAATACGACTTCCGACGAAATATTATAGATGTCTTTGTCCATAGTTAATATCATCAACAATTTTAGTAAACGCTAGAATTCAGTGATTAAAAGCGTTTTCCGTTAAAGTTAGATAAGAAATACTTACAATGTTGTAATTACATGTCTTTGAAAGCTTAACAGTTGTTTCACTTACCAAAATACATAATTAATTTTATATTATATACGTCTACTTTTAAACCCTCGTTGAGGTTTTAAGAGATTTGGGGTTCGATTGCGCTTTGGATTTGCTGAAATTTGGTCTAAGGTTATTTACACAGATCATCCCTCGCCTCTGAAGCACATTTTTTTTTTAAATTATAAAATTGGAGTTTTTCCATAAAATAATCATCGAAATATGTTTTTTTAAATAAAATAATTATTATTATCGACTTCACCATGATTCTTTTTATTTTTCGACCTTGATTTCCCTCGTACTTACTGCGAGCATTCCTCAAAATACAGTGAAATTTTATGGAATCTGTCAAAATTACTAAAACATAACCTAACAATTTGCCATGTTTCGAATAATAAAATAATTAACTAATAACATTTGGCCAGTAAACACAAACAGAAGATCTGTCTTCTATCGACAGATACACAGACAAACAGATCAGGACAAATAGGCAGAAGAGAGATCGGAACAGACAGACAAGTGGGGACAGATAGACAGATAGATCAGGACAGACACACAGATCGCGTCAGCCAGACAGGCAGACAAATGACAGATCGAGACAGCCAGACAGATCGCAAAAGCCAGACAGATTGGGACAAAAAGACAGACATCCAGACAGATAGACAATAGACAGACAGATAGATCAGGACAGACAGACAGACAGAAGACAGATCGGGTCAGACAGACAAATCGGGACAAAAGAGAGATCTGGACAAACAAACACATCGTGATAGAGAGACAACACATCGAGACAGATAAACAGACAGATAGATCGGGACAGATAGGCAAACAGATCGAAACAGCTAGACAGATCTGGACAAACAGACAAGATATATAGATCGGGACAGACAGATAGAAGACAGATCGGGACAGAAAGCAGATAGGGACAGAAGACAGAATGGAACAAACAAACACATCGGGACAGAGAGACAAACATATCCAGACAGATAAACAGACAGATAGATCTGGACAGACAGACGAAGTGATCGAAACAGCCAGACAGATCGGGACAAAGAGACAGACATACAGATCGGAACAAACAAACGAATAGATCGGGATAAGCAGACAAATGGGGAGCGATAGACAGAAGACAGATCAGAACACACAGACAGATCCGATAAAGGACAGATTGGGACAAACAGACAGATCTGGATAGACAGCTCGGGAGAGACAGACCGACCTAGACAGAGAGATACACAGACAGATAAACAGATCGGGACAACCAGACAGATCGCAATAGCAATACCGATTGGGACAGATAGACAAACCGGGACAGGCAGGCAGGCAGGCAGACAGACAGACAGACAGACAGACAGACAGACAGACAGACAGACAGACAGACAGACAGACAGACAGGCAGACCGACAGACAGATCGGGAACACAAACAGACAGACAGACAGATCGGGAAGACAGATAGACAAACAGACAGACAGACAGACAGACAGATCGGGAAGCCAGACAGACAGATCGGGAAGACAGACAGACAGATTGGGAAGACAAACAGACATACAGATCGGGAAAACAGACAGACAGACAGACAGACAGATCGGGAAGACAGACAGATCGAGAAGACAGACAGACAGATCGGGAAGACAGACAGACAAACAAACAGACAGATCAGGAAGACAGACAGACAGACAGATCAGGAAGACAGACAGACAGACAGACAGATCAGGAAGACAGACAGACAGACAGACAGACAGATCAGGAAGACAGACAGACAGATCGGGAGGACAGACAGGCAGATCGGGATAGACAGACAAATCGAAAAGACAGACAGAAGACAGATCAGGACACACAGACAGATCGCGACAGAGGAACGTTCGGGACAAACAAATAGAAGACAGATGGGGACAGAAAAATAGAAGACAGATCTGGACAGACAGGCAGACAGATCGAGACAAAAGAGAGATGTGGACAGAAGACAGATCTGTACAAACAAACACATCGTGACAGAGAGACAAACACATCGAAACATATAAGCAGATAGACAGATCGGGATAGACAGACGGACTGATCGAAACAGCCAGACAGATCAAGATAGACAGATTGGGATAAACAAACACATCGGGACACAGAGACAAATATATCGAGACAGATAAACAGACAGATAGATCTGGACAGACAGACGAACTGGTCTAAACATCCAGACAGATCGGGACAAACAGACAGACATACAGATCGGGACAAACAGACTGACAGGTAGATCAGGATAGACAGACAAATCGGGAGCGATAGACAGAAGACAGATCAGAACACATAGACAGATCGCGACAAAGGACAGATTGAAACAAACAGACAGAAGACAGATCGGGACAGACAAATAGAAAACAGATCTGGACAGACAGACAGACTGACAGACAGATCGCAATAGCCATATAAATCGGGACAGATAGATAAACCGGGACAGGCAGACAAACAGGCAAATCGGGGGGAAAGACAGACAGATTGGGATAGCCAGATAAATCGGAAAGACAGAGAGAAGACAGATTAGGACACGCAGATAGATCGCGACAAAGGACAGATCGGGACAAACAAATAGAAGATAGATCGGGACAGACAAATAGAAGACAGATCTGGACAGACAGGCAAACAGATCGGGAAGACAGACCCGGACAGACAGACAGAAGACAGATCAGAACACACAGACAGATCGCGGCAAAAGACAAATCGGGACAAACAAATAGAAGACAGATCGGAACAGACAAATAGAAAACAGATCTGGACAGACAGACAGACATACAGATCGAGGCAGACAGACAAACAGACCTAGACAGACAGACAGATCGTCATAAACAGACAGACAGACACATCGGGATAGACAGATACACAGACAAACAGATCGGGATAGACAGATAGAAGAGAGATTGGGACAGAAGAAAAATAGATCGGGACAGACAGACAGACATACAGTTCGGGACAAACAGACTGACAGATAGACCAGGATAGACAGACAAATCGGGAGCGATAGACAGAAGACAGATCAAAACACACAGACAGATCGCGACAAAGGGCAGATTGAGACAAACAGACAGATCTGGATAGACAGCTTGGGACAAACAAACAGAAGACACATCGGGTTAGACAAATAGAAAACAGATCTGGACAGACAGACAGAGCGGGACAGACATACAAACAGATCGGGACAGATAGACAGATCGGTACAAACAGACAGATAGATCGTCATAAACAGACAGACATACTGGCACAAACAGACAGACAGACACATCGGGATAGACAGATAGAAGAGAGATTGGGGCAGAAGAAAAATAGATCGGGACAGACAGACTTATCAACAGACAGATCGGGACAGACAGACGAACTGATCGAAACAGCCAGACAGATCGGGCCAAAAGACAGGGATACAGTTCGGGACAAACAGATTTGCAGATAGATCAGGATAGACAGACAAATCGGGAGCGATAGACAGAAGACAGATCAGAACACACAAACAGATCGCGACAAAGGACAGATGCGACAAACAGACAGATCTGGATAGACAGCTTGGGGCAAACAAACAGAAGACAGATCGGGACAGACAAATAGAAAACAGATCTGGACAGACAGAGCGGGACAGACATACAAACAAATCGGGACAGATAGACAGATCGGCACAAACAGACAGATAGATCGTCATAAGCAGACAGATATATTGGCACAAACAGACAGACATACACATCGGGATAGACAGATACACAAACAAACAGATCGGGATAGACAGACCGATCGGGACAGACAGATAGAAGAGAGATTGGGACAGAAAAAAAAATAGATCGGGACAGACAGACTTAACAACAAACAGATCGGGACAGACAGACTA